AACGGGGGGAGGGAATGGGGGGAGGGAATGGGGGGAAGGAATGGGGTGAGGAAACGGGGGGAGGAAACGGGGGGAGGAAACGGGATGAGGGAATGGGGTGAGGGAATGGGGGGAGGAAACGGGGGGAGGAAACGGGGAGGAAAAAGGGAGAGGAAATGGGGTGACGGAATAGGGGGAGGAAACGGGGGGAGGAATTGGGGGGAGAAAAAGGGGAGAGGGAATGGGGGGAGGAAATGGGATGAATGGGGTGAGGGAATGGGGGAAGGAATGGGGTGAGGGAATGGGGTGAGGAGACAGGGTGAGGAAACGGGGGGAGGAAACGGGGAGAAGGAATGGGGTGAGGGAATGGGGTGAGGGAATGGGGGAAGGAATGGGGGGAGGAAACGGGGTGAGGGAATGGGGGGAGGAAAAAGAGGGAGGGAATGGGGTGAGGGAATGGGGGGAGGAAATGGGGTGAGGAAACGGGGTGAGGAAACGGGGTAGGAAATGGGGTGAGGGGCACAGCGCAGCCCCCCCCCCCGCCCCACGGCCGTACCGTGTCTGAGAGTTCAGGCTTCAGGTCCAGCTTGAGGAAGCGGAAGGCCACGACAGGCATGATGCACACCACGGTGGTGAGAGCGATGGTCAGCCAGACCGTGGGCTGCGCCAACGTGTTCTGTGCGTTGCCTGGCGGAGGAGGGGGGGAGAAGTAGGGAGGAGGGGGGGGTCGTGAGGCAGTTTTCAGCCCCAGGGCCGCACAGAGCAGCGTGTGGGGGGCGCTGAGCAGGGAGGAGCGCTCACCCACGAAGCGGAACTGATTGGGGAACATCTGGAAGAGGCCGTCGCTGTGCATGGCGAAGAGAATGGCGAAGTAGGCGGCCAGGCTGCCCCAGATGAAGAAGTGGTTGATGGCCGTCCAGAAACCCGTATCCAAGCCGATCTGGGGGAGGAGGAGGAGGAGGCAGAGTCAGGGGGTGGCCACGGGGGGGCTCTGACTGAGGGGGGGGGGGGACGGACCCAACCTGCACGCTGACGACGATGACGAGGGAGGTGGCGACGGTGACGGCGAAGGACTGATAGTCGGCCAGCTGCGCCCCGTCGTCACGCGTGGCGTCGGCGAAGACGCCGTAGGGGATGAAGAACATGAGCACGGAGGTGTAGATGCCCTGGGCGATGCAGATGAAGAACTCACGCTTGTTGAAGAGCAGGTTGAGCTGGCCGGGCTCGTACAGCTTGGGGTATTCCATGCTCCGCTGCTCCGGCACGTCCTGGGGGCACGTGGCACGCTGGCACCTCCTTCAGGGCCGTGTGCCGGGGCTGAGCCGGCCCGACAGCGCCAGCAGAGGGACAAGGACGGCACCCAGAGACCCCCCCAGGCTCACCCTACCTGATCAAAGACCCCCATGGCCAGCACAGGCAGCGAGGTGTAGACGATGTTGTACAGCGTGATGAAGTACTGATCGTAAACCGTCTGCGGAGCACGCGGGGCTCAGAGCCAGCGCCCAAACCCCCCCCAGTGCCCCCTCACGGCCCTGCAGGACCCTGAGCAGCGCGTGCTGCTGCCACCACGGGGCAGCCGGGGTGACACAGAGGTGTGGGACGGGGGGCACAGGGATGGAGGGCGCAGGGACGGGGGGGCGCAGGGACGGGGGGGCGCAGGGACGGGGGGTGCAGGGACGGGGGGGCAAAGGGATGGGGGGCAAAGGGATGGGGGGCAAAGGGACAGGGGGCAAAGGGACGGGGGGGCAAAGGGACGGGGGGCGCAGGGACGGGGGGGCGCAGGGACGGGGGGGCATAGGGATGGGGGGGCACAGGGACGGGGGGCACAGGGATGGGGGGGCATAGGGATGGGGGGGCACAGGGACGGGGGGCATAGGGACGGGGGGCATAGGGATGGGGGGGCACAGGGATGGGGGGCATAGGGATGGGGGGGCACAGGGACGGGGGGGCAAAGGGACAGGGGGCATAGGGATGGGGGGGCGCAGGGACGGAGGGCACAGGGACGGAGGGCATAGGGATGGGGGGGCACAGGGACGGGGGGCAAAGGGACGGGGGGGCGCAGGGACGGGGGGGGCAAAGGGACGGGGGGGGCAAAGGGACGGGGGGGGCACAGGGATGGGGGGCACGCTCACCTGAGCTGAGAAGCCACAGAAAAAGCCGAACCAGAAGTGGACCATGGTGAAGGCGAAGTTCTTGTAGAAGAAGTAGCAGAGGAATTTGCACATGCGTAGGTAGGACCAGCGCCCGTGCACCAGGAGCAGGCGCTGCAGGAACTTGAACTGTGAGAAGGAGTAGTCGGAGGCCAGCACTGCCTGGATGCCCTCCTGCCCGCTGATGCCCACCCCGATGTGCGCGGCTGCAGAAGAGGGGCACAGGGTGAGCGGCACAGGGCGACACCCCCGAGGGGACGGGACAGCAGCAGGAGGGACCCGGCCCCCTCCCACACTCGCCGGGCCCCACGACTCAACTCTTGATCATGCTGACGTCGTTGGCCCCGTCCCCGATGGCCAAAGTCACCGCCTTCTTGTACTTCTTGACCAGCTCCACCACCTGTGCCTTCTGCAGCGGCGTCACACGGCAGCAGATCACGGCCTTGCAGGCGCACGCCGTCTCCAGGAACTCCACCTCCATGTCTGCCTCCAGCGCGTGGGCCTGGCAGGGAAGCGTGGGGCCGGGTGAGGTTGGACCCACAGCCAGGGGGGCAGCAGACCCGCAGTTAAAGGGCGATCGGAGCCGCAGCAGGCAGGGCGCCGCGGCCAGCTGGAGCTCCCTACCAGGCTGTGCCCGTTGATGACCAGAGCGTATTCGCCCGCGATGGCTTCCAGCACGGAGGTGAGCTTTGAAGAGGAGAGTTTCTCCTGGTAGGAGAAGCCGTTGCCCATGGAGCGCGATCCATCCATCATCTTCTCCCGGGCTTTCCTGAGGAGGGAGCCCAGGGGGGGTCAGGGGGGGTCTGCTCAGAGCACCCGAGCGCCCCCAGCTGTGGGGCACAACCCCACACCTCCGTCCTCACCTGAGCTCCTCGCGCACCTCCAGCACGGTGTGGCCCGTGACCACGAACACCTCGCTCATGTCATCTGTCAGCATCTTGCAGGAGTAGCCGATGTTCACCGCTGTTTCTGCGGAAGGGGAACCTGGGGCTGAGCAGAGGGGGAATCGTGTGCCCCGCATCCCTGCCCTCACAGATGGGACCCGGCCCGCGAACACCCCCGTCTCCAGCAGCGCCGTGCCTCACCCTGCTTGTCCCCTGTCAGCACCCAGATCTTGATGTTGGCCAGCGTCAGGATGGCGATGGTTTCAGGGACGCCCTGCTGCAGTTTGTCCTCGATGGCCGTGGCTCCAAGCAGCTGCGGGACCGGCGCAGGTGGGGGGCTCAGCACAGGCTGCCCTCAGCCTCCCCCTCCCCACATCCCCAGCCCACACACCGTCATGTTATGCTCCACCTCGTCGTAGAGCCGGGCCAGGCGATCCTCGCGGGCCTCAGGAGCTCCGCTGGCACGGCGCAGCCGTTCAGCCCAGTCCTCATAGTAGCTCTCCTCCAGGTCCTTGCAGGCCAACACCAGCGTGCGCAGCCCCTCGCCGGCGTATTCCTGCAAGCAGCCACAGCTGGGCACGGTCAGACCCCAAACGGCGTCCCCACACCTCGACCCCCACGGGACGCAGCCCCCCAGCCCCGCTCACGTTCAGGTGGTCCGTGGTGACGTTGCTCAGGTCCTGGTTGGAGGGGTGCAGGCGCTCCAGCAGGATGGTGTCGGCGCCTTTGCAGTACAGCCGGATTTTGCCCTCAGGGCTGCGCACTGCAGGAAGGGGGGGGGGACAGGCTGCCAGGCTCGGGGCTGCAGGAGCAGAGCCTCCTCCGAGCCCCGACCGCATCCCTGCGATATCTGCACACCACGGGGGGCTGCTTCCCAGCACCAGGCTGAGCCCCAGCCGCCCAGCCCCACTTCAGCCCGCCCCTAAACTCCCCAGCCCTGCTCTCACCGATGACAGACATGCGCTTGCGGATGTTGTTGAAGTCCAGGATGGCCAGCAGCTGGTAGGTGACGGCTCGGCCCAGCTCGTGCACCGTGATGGTTTTGGGCGTGCGGGACCGGAACACGAAGCCAAAGTTCCTGGCAGCTGTGACCAATGCCCCCTCGTCTGGGGACTGCGCCTTGTAGTACAGCTCCCCTGAGGACGGGGGACAGCAGGGGCTCAGTGCCGCCTCCCGTGCCGCGCGGGCAGCCCTGCCCTCCTCACCCACCTTCGCTCTTCTCCTCGGACATGACGGTGTGGCAGAGCGAGAGCAGGCGGAAGAATTCGTGCACGTGGGGATCCCCCAGCTGGACGGCCTCCAGCAGGCTGGGGTCCCAGAACTGGAATCCCGGATCCGCCAGCGGGTTGAAGGAGAAGTCGACGGGCTCCGGCCTCTGGCGGGGACCGAGGAGGGGTCACCCCACGGCACGCAGCAACCCGCAGCCCAGGGCTGGGCGCAGCGCCCTCACCTCTCCCAGCTCCACTTTAGGACCCAGCACGTCCTGCGCGTCGCCTGCAAAAGGGACGTGGGGTGAACCGTGGGGCCGAGCGCCGCAGGCCTGCTGCCACGCACACACAGCGCTGCCCCACAGAGCTGAGGTGGCTCCCTCCCAAACCTCTCCAAGTGCCCGGGGAAGAGCAGACGGATCCCCCAAGGCAGGAAAGGCGGTGGGGCACCCACACCTACACCCCGGTGCTCACCGTAGCTGTGCCCGTTCACGGAGCACTTGCTGAAGACCATGATGTTCTGGGTGAGGGTGCCGGTCTTGTCGGAGAAGATGTACTCCACCTGCCCCAGCTCCTCGTTCAGGGTGGTGGTCCGTGCCTCAGCCGGCGTCCGGCGCTTGGCACAGTACATCTTCTTGTCCCAGTTGATGAAGTAGCTGTGCCCGAGGCGGATCACCTCCACGCTGCAGGGGGAGGGGGGATGGGGGTCAGCGGGCAGAGCAACACAGCGCTGAGACAGCGAGGGACACGCACACCCCCCCACGCACACCCCTGGCACCAGGGGCTCCCCGGCACCCGCTGCCCCGCGCCCTTCCCCAGAGCTGAGCTCACATCCACTCCTGCCAACAGCCACCACCACGGCTCGGGATGCGGGGCTGGGACTGCAGGGCTGGGACTGCAGGGCTACCCGGGCATCTCGCACACCTGCGTACCCCCAAACCGCCCCCCAGCCCCCAGGGAAGACAGCAACGAGCCAGTGGGAGGGGTGGGGGTGACACGTTCTTACCTCGGGGCTAAGGGTGACAGAACCCATGCTGGGGAACGAAAAGAGAGAGAAATTAAAAGAGAGAGAGAAGGGGACAGTGCAGGAGCCTGGGAGCTGAGGGAGGGCAGAGCAAAATAACCAGCGTGCAGCCAGGGCAGGGAGACAGGAGCAGCCAGACAGATGCAGCCGGGGGGGAGGGGGGCCACCGACTCTCCAGGTCTCAGGCCTTGGAGAACCAAGGAGAACCCCAGGGCAGACGCAGCCCATCTCCAGCAGAGCAGCCCCTGCCCACCCCGCACACAGCCCTGCCCTGGGGTCCCCATCTCCTCCTCCCCTCTCCACAGGACCCCCTGCTAGCGGAGCCCACCCCCCTCACATCCCTCAGCCCATCCCCACAGCCCTGCCCCTACCTCACGTAGAGCGAGATGGGCACCACGGTGTTGAGGATGATGATGTAGGACCAGAAGGAGAGGAAGCCGGAGAAGACGGCGCTGTGCACCCCCTCGTCCCAGGGCAGGTAGATCTGGAAGCAGACGCCCACCTCGTGCTCCCAGATGGCGTTGCCGATGGCCAGGATCACCCCCATGCACACCAGGAACCCAAAGATCTGCGGACAGGACCGGGACGTGAGCCCCAGCCCCACGGCCGCGCGCTGCCCCACAGCTGCATTCCACGCACCCAGAGCACCAGGGTGTTCATCAGCCGGTCGATGCTCGTCCGTTTGAATTTGGTCCGCCCGCTGTTCTGCATCAGCTTCGTGTCCGGCCCTGGGGCAGAGGGAGGACGTCAGCAGAGCCCCCAGCCCTGCAGCGCGGCGCTGCCCGGCCTCACAGCCCACCTGCGAAGACGACGAGGCCGAAGCACCACTCGGTGTTGCGCAGCACGCAGCCCCGCAGCAGCATGTTCTGGTTGCTCAGGGGGTATTTGTTCTCCTTCCAGTACAGCGTCCCGCCAAACTTGTCCAGCTTGTTGTTGGGGGGCTCGCAGATCACCTCGCCTGGGCACAGAGGACACCTCAGCTGAGCTCATGCATCTGTCCAGCTCCGTCCCGGTGGCTCCCAGCTCCATCCTCAGCCCCGTCCCAGCTGCTCCCAGTTCCACCCCCTGCTCTGTCCCAGATGCTCCCAGCTCCATCTCAGTCACTCCCATCTCCATCCCCAGCCCCATCCCAGCTGCTCCCAGTTCCACCCCCTGCTCTGTCCCAGATGCTCCCAGCCTCATCTCAGTTACTCCCAGCCCCATCCCCAGCCCTGTCCCAGTGACTCCCAGCTCCATCCTCAGCCCCATCTCAGTCACTCCCAGTTCCACCCCCTGCTCTGTCCCAGCTGCTCCCAGCCCCATCTCAGTCACTCCCAGCTCCATCCTCAGCCCCATCCCAGCTGCTCCCAGTTCCATCCCCTGCCCTGTCCCAGATGCTCCCAGCCCCATTCCCAGCTCCATCTCAGTTACTCCCAGCCCCATCCCCAGCCTTGTCCCAGTGACTCCCAGTCCCATCTCAGTCACTCCCAGCTCCATCCCCAGCCCCATCCCAGCTGCTCCGACTTCCACCCCCTGCTCTGTCCCAGCTGCTCTCAGCTCCATCCCCCACCCTGCCCCAGTTGCTCTGCAGACCCATTTGCACCCCAGAACCACAGCACCCCACAGACAGCCCCGGTCTCTCCAAACCAAACCCAAGCTAGGTGCCAGAGGAAGAACCTTAAAGGCCGCCCCATCACAGAGGACAGTTTTTGGGTACTCACCATCGAATCGTGCCAGTGTGCTGATATCTGCCAGCTCTGAGGTGACGGGGGTGGCCTGTCGCACCTTCATGTTGGTTTCTCTGCAGGAAGGAGCACGGCGTGGGGTGAGCACCAGCCCGGCAGAGCAGCTCACGGCCCATTTTCCTTCTCACCAAGGCTGACGACAGCACCTACCCATCCAGCTCGGCGGTCTCTACATAGCACAGCCCATGGGGCTCGCTGCTGCAGAGGAGGAGGAGGTCAGCCTGCAGGAGAGACGTGCTGAAGGCTGTGCCGGCGCTGAGCTCCCCTCTGCCTCCCCCAGGGAAGCCCCCCACCCCACGCTGCAGCTCTGGGGCCAGCAAGACGCCCTGTCAGACGTTCATCACCCCAAGAGCTCACAAATCCCCACAGCCCAAACTCTGCTGCCCAACTTCCAGCCTCGGACGGAAGCCCAGGAGATGACAGCAGTCCGTATCCCCAGGCAGCACCGTGCTCATCTCAGCACCAAACTCACCGCCACAAACTGGTTGTTCTCCAGCTTGATGATGTCCCCAACGCGGACGTTCATCCACTGCTCCTGACGAAGGCTGCAGAGGGACGGCGTGACACAGAGCCACGTTGCCCCGAGGCCACACCACGTCCCTCCTCCCTGTGACACTCACACTCCGCCGATCAGCACCTGAGACTGCCGGTTGTTCACCTGGTTGTCGCTCTTATGGCGGAACTGGGCACGGGGGAAAGGGGTGGTGGGGTCAGCCATGAGGGGGCTGGGGTCCCACGTCCACCCCCAGCCCACGCTGTGAGCTGACAGCGCTGAGCACTCACGTAGTCGTCGGTGGCATCTTTGACGGCCGTGATGGTCAAGACGAGAACCAAAGGCACGATGGTGGTGAACCATGAGAGTGAGGAGATCTGCGGGATCAGCTGCGGACGGCAATGGGGGGTTAGGGGGAGATGGACGGCCCCAAAGCGCACTGCTAACCCTGAGGCAGGACGCTGCCCCACCTCCCCCGGCCCCCCACAACTCACCTGCAGAATGAGGAGGAAAAGGAAATAGGTGTTGGCCACTTCCTGGAACTGCTCGAAGAGGTTGACAGGCAGGAAGGTGACGATGTTGTATTTGGAGGTCTTGATGCAGTTGTTCTGGGGATGGAATGGGTGATGGGGGGGTCAGGATGAGCCGAGGCGCTGCAGTTCCAGCACTGCTCCAGGGCAGGGCTGGCCTGAGCTGCTGCCCATCCTATCACCGTTCCTGCAGCCACATCCCCACACCTCCAAAGCCCGGAGCCTTGCAGGCAGTGCGGCGGCCAGGCCTGAAGCAGAGCAGCAGCAATAACCTCCACAGAGGGGAAGGGGGGGGTGGGCAAGGTGAGCGCTGCCCCTCCCCCAGCCGCTCCGGAAGCTCGTTAATTAACCAGAACCATCGCAGCGCTCCTCCGGGGCCGGCAGAGCAGGGATTGGGGTCTGTTGGAGGACTCCGCAGGAGTACAGCTTGTCCCCCATCCCCGCAGCTCAGTGATGCACTCAGGGACACGCAGATCCTTGCAGCCGTGACCCCTCACCGGGCACCAAACCCCCCTGAGCCCCCCGACCCCCCCGGGGTCAGCGAGGAGAGTTGGGGTGGAGGATGGGGGGGGGGGGTCTCCACTCACCGCATACTGGAACTTCTCGTTGTACTCCCGTGCGTTGGCGCGCACCCGGCGCTCCTCCTCTGCAACACAGCGCCGTCAGCCCCCCCACCCCCAGCCCCACCGACCCCCGGCCCTACCGACCCCCCGGGGTCCCCCCAGCCCCACCGATCCCCAGCCCCACCGATCCCCAACTTCACCGACCCCCCCGGGTCCCCCCAGCCCCAACGACCCCCAGCCACGCCGATCCCCCAGATCCCCACAACACCACCGACTCCCCGGGTCTCCGCCAGCCCCAGTCCCACCAACCCCCCGAGTGCCCCCCAGCCCCACTGACCCCCCAGGTTCCCCCCGGCCCCAGCCCCACTGACCCCCCACCCCACCGACCCCCCGGGTCCCCGCGGACCCCAAAACCCCGCTCTTCCCCTGTGCACTCTGAGACCCCAAAAGTGCCTCCCCACCCCCCGCATCCCCAGGCCCGGCTCCCTCCCGCCCCTCACCCACCGGCTCCCCCCGGTCCCCGGACCCGCGGCCACTTCTCGGGCATCTCCCGGGGCACCGTCATGGCTCCGGGCCCGGGACGCGCCCCGCCGGCGCCATCCCGCAGGGCCGCAGCCGCTGCTGCCCCGGGCCCGCCCCGCCCCGCCCCGCCGCTGCGGGATCCGCCGCGTTGCCGTGACAACGGCCGTCCCGGGCCCACCGCGGCCTAGCGCGGCCTAGCGGGCCCAGCGCGGCCTAGCGGGCCCGCCCTCACCTGCAGCCCCGCGGGCCGCGCAGCCCATGGGAGCGGGGCCGGGGCCGCTGCGGCCCCCACAGCCGCCGCCTCAGCGCCCCATGGCCGCGGCGGTGGGCGGACGGCGGCGGAAGTGATGCGGAGGGCGGTCGTAGAATCACGGCACGGTTTGGGTTGGGAGGGAGCTCAGGAGTCCCAAAGCTGCGACCCCACAGCGCCTGCAAAGCCCCCGACCTGCCCACGTCTCACAGCAGCCCAGGCTGCCCAGGGCCCCATCCAGCCTGGCCTCCAAGCCCTCCAGCGATGGACGGGGCATCGCAGCCTCTCTGGGCAGCTCTTCAGCCCCTCACCGCTCTCCCAGCACACGACTTCCCTGACCCCCAGCCTCCAGCTGCCCTCCCTCCGCTTCCAGCCGTTCCCTGCTCTCATCTCCCCTGCCCAAGAGCTGCCTCCCCTCCTGGCTGCAGGCTCCCTGCAGGCTGCACTCAGCTCAGCCCCGGCTCCTCTTCTCCGTGCTGAACGAGCCCAGCTCCCTCAGCCTGGCTTTGCAGGGAGCTGCTGCAGCCCCTGCTCAGCCCTGCGGCTCCTCTGGCTCCTCTCCCACAGCTCCCTGTCTTGTCTGGGAACCCCCAGCCCTGGACGCGGTGCTGCAGACGGGGCCTCACAGAGCAGAGCCCAGAGGGACGATCGCCTCCCTGTCCCTGCTGCCCCCCCTCTGCTGATGGTGCCCAGGATCCCGTTTGCTTTCCCAGCCGCAATCACACCCTGCTGGCTCCCGTTCAGCTTTTCACCCTTGGGGACCCCCAGGTCCTTCTGTGCAGGGCTGCTCTCAACCAGTCTGTATGGATGCTTGGCATTCCTCTGATCCAAGTGCCAAACTTTGCACTTCGCTGTGTTGAACCTCATCAGGTTCACCCAGCCCCACCTTTCAGCCCGTTGAGGTCCCTCTGAATTCCATCCCTTCCTTCCACAGCACCGCTCAGCTGGGTGTCATCAGCAAACTTGCTGAGGGTGCACTCGACTCCGTCATTGATGTCACTGGTAAAGATGTTCAGGCGTTGGGGAGCAGCCCCCAGCCCCCCCTCCCAGCCCCGCCGCCCCACGGCACGGACACGCGGCGGCGGCGGCTCGGCTCTTTAATGGGCTCATCCCTGGCGCTCGGCACAGTCAGTGCTTGGTCTGCCTGCGTGCTCGCCCGCCGTCCTCTTCCTCTTCCTCGGGGTGGTGGAAGGCCACGAAGAGCTGATAGAGCCCCGTGCCCAGCGCGGCCCCCACCAGCGGGGCCACCACCGGCACCCACCACCACGCGCTGCCCCTGCTGCGAGCGGAGCCGTGGGTGTGGAGCATCCAAACGGTGCCCCCCGGCCCCAGGCCCAGCACCCACCTGAACACCTCGGTGCCCCATCCTGCTGCCAACGTGAAGAGCCGCGGGCCGAAGTCCCGTGCGGGGTTCATGGGGCTGCCGCAGTTGAAGCCCATGGACACCTCGATGGCGAGCACCAGCAGCGCCACGGTCAGCGGCTCCAAGCCTCGCGGGATGGCGCGGTTGCGGGTGTCGGTGATGGCCAGGATGCCCACGATCAGCACCGCCGTGCCCAGAACCTGCGGGCAGCAGTGCATCAGCGTGGGGCCATATGGAGCCATATGGGGCCGTCGGGCTGTGAGGCCGGCACCCACCTGGTCCAGGAAGCCGTTGGGAAGGGAGAGGTGCTCGGAGGGGTACGTGGCGAAGATGGAGGCCGTCTCCTGCGGCCCGGAGACGGTGAGGGTCCCGTTGCTGTAGGACCAGATGGCATCTGCGGGGCAGAGCCGTGCAGCAGCGGAGCCCCCCCGGCTGCGTGCCCACCCCACAGCCCCACTGCTGGCTCTTTGTACCGTAATACAGAGCATAGACGGCTGCGGCGGCGACAAAGGACCCGAAGGTCTGCACGGCCACAAAGATGGGGAACTTCCACCACGGGAGCTGCCCCAGCAGGGACATGGAGAGGGAGAAAGCCGGGTTCAGGTGAGCCCCTGCAGTGTGGCAGGAGAGGGGCTGGGAGCGGTGCTGGGGGCGCGGAGCAGAGCCCCCCGCGGAGCTGCAGAGCCCCCAGCCTCACCAGAGACCCCCCCCGCCGTGTGGATGGCCACCATGACGGCCAGGGCGCCCGCCAGCGAGGAGGTGACGATGTTCCCTTTGGTCCCGGAGCTGGTGATCATCTGTGCTGCACCGCCCAGCGTGATCAGCTGCAGGACAAGGACACGGCTGCAGCCAGCCCCACGCTCTGCCCCACGCAGCACCCGCTCCCCAGAGCTGAGTCCCTCTGCAGGATGGGCGCAGGGCAGCACGGAGCCAAAAGCTGCTCTGCTGCCTCTTCCAGTCTCCGTGCTTTTGCCTGCGCCCACTGCCCGGCTCCAGCTCTCAGTGCAGCCCGGGGCAGCAGGGAGGCATTTAGTGTCGTTGTTCACGTACTCAGTGATGAGTAAAAGAAATTATCAGCAATTGAGTCACATGCTGCTGCAGGGAAACCTCAGGGCTGGGGGGCACTGCTGGCCAACGTTCACTGCTGCTGGTTCCAGTCCCAAGGCCGCAGAGCCCAACCTTTGGCTGACACAGGGCTGGAGATGTGAAGGCACGCAGTGCCTGACCCTGCACACACGTGGCAGCGCCCGCAGCCTCATCCACGGAATCACAGAGAAGCAACAGCAGCAGCAGCAGCAAGGGGTCAGTTGGGCCGTGGTGAATCGCAGCGTGGGTCCAAGCCAGAGGTGAGCAGATTTGGGGTCACTGCGGTCCCAGCACAGCCCCCCCACCCCTAGGCAGCCCCCGGTGGGCACAGCACAGCTGCAGGGCCCTCAGCTCTGTGCTCCCTCCACCCTGGTCCCCCCCCCCTGCACAGCTCCCCACCTCACTCACAATGAGCACAAAGACAGCCAGCAGCTCAGCCAGGCACTCTCGTGCCAGCTGGTTCTGGATGCTGAGCAGCGCTCGGATCCTCCTCACGAAGGACACGTAGCTCATGGCACCGGCAGAACGCGGGCAGCAGCAGCGGCACCGGCTGCTTCGCTGCCTGATTTTATGAGCCCCGGGCTGGGGTGGGTGATAACACTCAGACTTTAAACCAATCAGGGCCACGTGCTGCAGTTGGGAGACGCGTGGCAGAGACCAGAGTCCCGCGTGGGGCCCTGGGCAGCGGCTGCGTCCCCGCTTCCACCCATCCCGGAGGATCTCCTCACCCACACAATATCCTGCCTGCCCCACATCCTGATGTGGGAGGTGCCCTGGCCGTGGCCGCAGGCAGCACTAATGAAAAGCCTTTGGAAAAGCTCCCAGGCCTTGAGAGCACCCAGGAGAGGCATTAACGTGGCACTGGGGAGATAAGGTGGGAAGGAGGGCAGGGAGCACACGGGCTCCCCTCGTGAAGCGCAGCGGGATCCCAACCTCCCACCACGGGGGTCCCGGCACCCCAAGGAGCCTCACACGCTGCCGTTAGCATAAATAGACTTTATTTCTCTGTACACATACGCACGCTTCACCCTCACAACGCAGCGGGGCGCCGAAGCAGGGGGCGGCCCCCATCCCAGCCCCTGCGTCCTGGCAGGACCGAGAGGCAATGAGAGGGGGCTGCCACGCACCCCCACACGGCAGGGCAGCCCCTGCCCCGTGCTCCTTAAGTGGCTACCAGCTGGAGAACCAGCGGCGGAAGAAGCTGCCCAGCAGGGATGAGGAGCTCTGGGGAGGGCTGAGGAGCTCATCACGCTGCGGCCACGTGCCTGCAAACTGGGCCAGCTCCCCTGCAGAGCAACGGGGGCTCGTTCACAGGGCACAGACGCGCTTCCCTCTGACCCCCCCTCGACCCCCCCCCACTCACTGTCATCCATGTTGAGCACCTCCTCCCGGTAGTCTTTGCTCTGCCCGTCCTCCTTGGTGGTGGTGATGAAGGCCTGGTCCCCCCTCCGGCGGGTGATGGTCGTCTCACGGTGGCCCTGGCTGTCCTGCACCGTGCGGCGCTCCTCCACTGCCTGCAGGGAAATGCACTGTGAGTCGGGCCCAGCATCCTGGCAGCAGGGAGAGCTTTCCGGTACTTAAAGGGGGCTTAGAAACAAGATGAGAGTGACTGTGTACGAGTGACAGGAGAGGGGAAATGGCTTTAAATGAACAGAGGGGGGATTTGGGTCAGATGTGATGCAGCACTGCCACCCAGAGCTGGGAGCGCCCCATTCCTGGAGGGGGCTCTGGGACGCTGAGCTGCTGAGGGGCAGCCGGCACACGGCAGGAGTGGGGCTGGGGGTCCCTTCCAACCCAACCATACGGCGATCCCACGGCTCCGTGATCTTTAAGGGCCACCCCGAGCCAACCTTCCGACCGTCCCGCGGCTCTATGAGCCCTGGGATCCTCCCAGCCCCTCCCAGCCCTCCCACACCGCGCGGCTCCGTGCGGCACTCACTCCATCAGGGAGCGTCACTGTGGTGACCGAGACGCTCTGGAAGTAGGAACGCGGCTGCCGGGGCCGCAGGATGGTGCTCAGCCCCGCCGAGGACACCTGGGAGTCCAAGTCTGCAGGGAGCAGCTGTGAGAGCGTGGTCGGGGGAGGCCAAGCCCAGCCCCCACCCCCCGACAGCACCCACCGCGGTCCTCCTTTTGTCCCGGGGAGGGCGGCGGGGGCTCCTCCAGCTGCAGGGTAAAGGAGGGGCGGTGAGCGGCGCCCGGCGGGGACCAACCAACCCCCCCGCCCGCCCCCTCCCGGTTCCTCCTCACCCACCGCCGGGCGCGGCTCCCACTGCCGGGCCGGACCCTCGGGCTCTTTCAGCATGGAGTCGCGCAGCGGCCGCCCCGCGCCGTGGCCGGGCAGGGGGGGCTCAGAAGGGAGCGCCGGGGTCAGCCCGGGCCTGGCTGCCTCGCCGGGCCCCCCCCAACCCCGCTCCTCGCCGAAGGACGGGGGCAGCCCGGCCCAGCCCCCCCCGAAGGCCCCCAGCAGCTCGCCCATGTCCCGCAGCAGCTCCTCGAAGGCGCCGCCGGGGCTGAAGCCGAAGCCGAAGGCGAAATCATCGGGGGGGCGCGGCCCAGGGGGGCCCTCGGCTTCCTCCTCCTCCTCCTCGTCGTCCCACGGCGCTCCGAACAGCGGGTCCCGGGGCCTGCGGAACGCGGCGCTCACAGCGGGATACCGGGGAGATAACGGGAAGTAGCGGGGGTGGGGTGACGGGGCCGAGGCCGGTACCTGCCGCGCCCCGGGAAGCCGAAGAAACCGCGGAAGGCGTCGTAAAAACTCATCGCGCTCCAGCCGCAAAGCGCCACCGCTGCCAGCCACTACCAGGCCGCGGCCGTAAAGCGCCGCCGGCCGTAAAGCGCCTCTGGGCGTCGTGAGGCGCAAGGCCGTAAAATCGCCGCCGGGTGTCCTGAGGCGCCGGACAATTAAGCGTCGCCGGGCGTCCTGAGGCGCAATGCCGTAAAGCGCCGCGGGGTGTCGTGAAAGGCCCGTAGGGTCCCCCCACAGCTCTGCGGTGCGTGGAGCACGGGGTTGAAAACACAGGGACTGAAAGTGACAGTGATCCTAAATAAGGGAATAATGCTGTAAAAATGGTGGGGAAAAGGCAGGGGGGAATCATTCCCAGCAGGCTCAAAGCACTCCAGATACCACACAGCACTTTGTGACCTTTATTCTCTTTAGGAAGGAGCCCGCAGCTGAACTGAAAAATACAGGAGCTGGACTGTATAGAAAAAAAAACCAAAACAAAAAGAAAAACAAACCAAAAAAAAGACCAAAAAGTAACAGGGAGGAGGGGGCCCCAATGGGGGGGAAGGGGGGGGCAGGGCAGGCGCGGAAATGAGGACTCGGGGCCGGCGTTGGGGTTTTTGTTTTTATATACAAGACACATTTATCCATTAAATTTAGAACACGGTACAAAAAAAAACACTTCAACTAATTCATCTTACAATGCTGTTCATATCAATTACTGCTCTTATTCCTAATATAAGGGGTTTGCTGTAGGCGGCGCGCAGCTTCCACTCCTTTGGGTCCGAGGGGCAGCGGGAGGAGCGGGGATGGGGTGGGGGATGGGGAAGGGAGGGAGGGGAAGGAGTACAAACCAAAAAAGGCCCCTACGGCAAACGGGTCAGAGTCTGAATGCAGAGAGAGAGAGAGAGAGAAGAAGGGGGAGGGCAGAGAAAAAAAAAAAATAAAAGAAAAAAATACAAATTCTATATTACATACAACAGGAAAGGTGGCTGAAAACAGACAACGCGGAGCCGCCCGCCCTGCCCTGCCCGGGGCCGGCGCCGCCCCTGGGGGTTTTTTCTTCTCCTCCTCCTCCTCCCACATCGGTCGGCGTCGCTTCTTGTCGTAAGCAATTGATGGGTCGGGGCCGCCCTGCTCAGTTGGTGCCCCAGCTGTAGCTGTTGTAGGCAGACTTGTTGGCCTGGGATTTCTGGGGGATGGAGCTGCCTTGGCTGCGCTGCCCGGAGCCGCTCTGCGGGGAGGGGGGCAAGGAGCAGAGGAGGAGGGTTAGCAGGGGGAGCGGGCGCCGAGCTCGTCCCCGGGGGTCCCATCCCAGCAGCTCCACGGCCCGGCAGCTCTGCTGGGTGACAGCGCCGTCCCTGCGGGGCTGCAGCAGAGCGCGGTGCCGCACCGCCGGCCACCCCCGATCGGCACAGGGGGCAGCGGGGAGGGGGAGAGAGGGGGAAGGGGTCGAGCACGGAGTGTGTGTTGTCTGTGCGCGCGGCTGTGTGTGTGTGCACATCCTGACTGCGGGCCTGGCGGGGCCACGGGGAGAAGGAGGGGGCTACGTGAGCCTGGGGGGCCTTAGGGGCGGGGAGAGACCCCAGGGCGAGTGCAATGCATTATCATCAGAGAGGTTCATTACCTGATCTTCCTGCTGGCGTTGGCAGCACAGTATCATCTGCAAATATGGAAGCTGTTGCAGTACCAGGATATGTAAAAATAAAGGGACAAACTATGACAATAGAAATCCACGGTTAGACCTGCAAGCTACGGCGGGGTCGTGGCTGTGGAGAGGAATTCTGCCGGCCTGCGGAGCCGCCACTCCGAGGACCGGGAGGTCAGGATGGACCAGGCGTGTGTCTGCGTGCAGGGGCACTACCCGACCGTACCTGGTACAGCCCGGCTGCAAGGGGCTGTGCCGAGTACCCCCCAGCGGAGCGCACCCCGGGCCTTCCTCACCTCGTCCTCATCGGCCCTGTGTGTATGTGCATGTGCGTGTCACCGCGTGTGTCCGCTGCGGGGCGTGAGGGAGGGAGGGAGAGGGGGGGCCGGGGGGAGCCAGAGCCCTAGAGAAGCCCCGTTGAGGGGTACGGAGACCCCCGGGGGTCCTGGGGGCAGCTTACCTGCCCGTCCTGCTGCAGGTGGTGGTGGAGGATCTGCGAATGGGGCTGCTGATGCGGGGTGAGGATGTGCATGAAAGGGGTCGGGGGGTACGCAGCCGCCGTCGCGGGGTTGATGGGGCCGCCGCTGCCCAGCGCTGAAGGCAGGTTGAAGGAGGCCGCCGGAGTTCCAGTGTGAAATCCCTGCTTCTCGAAGGATTGCTGAGGGGAGGAGAGCAGAGTGAGGGGGGAGCGCTGGGCTGAAAACCCCCACGCCTCTTAGCGGTGCAAATCACGGGCCGGCAGTCGGTGCCTGGTGCAGAGAAGGGAGCCGTGCTCCAACCACCACCCTCCCCCCCCCCCCAGGCTCAGAGTCGCTTTAAATTCGGGAAGGGCCACGTGCTTCCCTTCTCCCTGTCCGGCTGCTCCAAGGACAGACCCCCCTCTCACGATGGAGGCCACGTTCCCCATCCTGTTTCCCAGCAAAGCAGCACACAGCCAGCACAGCACCCACCTGAGTTTTGGAGTAGACAGAGCCCGAGATGTCCGGCACGCCTGTGTTACTGGATGTCACAGATACACCTGGCGGAAGGAAACAGGAGCGTCAGGGCTCAGCAGCGCCGAGGCTCAAAGAGTGGCCTGGAAGTCAGGTGAGCTTTGGAGGCATCGCGCAAGGAGCTGCAGCGTGCTCGTACAAGCACAGGTTCTCTTGCTGCGGATAACAGCAGCTTCTGGAAGCTTGCAGAAACAAATTTAGGGGCCTGGTGCCACCCAGAGATGCACCCCTTCCCCCCAAAAAGCCCAGAAAAGAGCAACTTGAAGAGCAGGAAGGCGATGAAATCAACCCTGGCAGGAAGGGCCGTGAGCTCCTCAGCCACGAAACAGGCAATGGCGTGGGAGGGTGACCCGACTCGAGCACTGCTTGCTTTGTAAGTTACATCAGGCAACCTGCTGCAGAGCTGAGGTATCAGTGCCAAGAGAGATGAGGAGTTCCAGAGGGCCCTGACGCAGTGAAAAAAGGCACAGCTGGAATCTAAAGGCCATCATCAAGGCAGAAGCAGAGCAGGCCCTTCACAACTGGCCCAGCGCTGAGCGCTGAGACCCAAGGCACGCAGCAGGTTTGCTGCTATGGGTTTCCTCCTCCTTCCTCTGAACGCCGAGCACAGGAGCCAAACACAACCAACCAACCAACCCAGGCAGTAAAGGAATAAAGGCAGAGGTGAAGCGAGTGAAGGCTCCAGAGCCATTTGCACAGCCGGTGAGATTGCCAACAAGCTCTGTCAGAAGAAGAAAACCAAGCCTGTGAGGAGCAGGATGCCCTGCAGGTCTCTTACCAGCGCTGTATCCATGAGAGCCGTAGCCACTGGGCTGCTGGAAAGGGGTTGCTGATGCGTTGACGCTGACATTCACACCATGCTGCTTGGAAGAGGTAGGAGCAACCTAAGGAAAGGAGAGGGGCAGGGTGAGAAGAGGCTGCATGCATCGTTCCCCGAGCCAAACCCCTCGCCCTGCCTCAAGGGAACTCACAGGGAACACGGCGGGCCCGTACTGGAAGGTGCTGGGGAGCCCTGGTACCCCTGTGTAGTACGGCAGACTGGTGTAACTGTAGCCAGGAGGCAGCGCCGGGTTCAGGAACGTCTGCTGCGTGGTGTGGTGGGTTTGGGTCTGGCTCTGCTGAGGCTGCGCCAAAGTCGTTGCAGGAGCAGGGGAGGAGGCGTCGCCTCGGCCGAATTTCGTTAAGTCACCTGCAGCAGAGAGGGAAGGAGGCTGAGGAACGGCGGCACCGAACCCTGCGCTCCAGCTCAGCCCACAGGCGCCGCAGCGCCGCCGTCAGCACCGAACCCCCCTGCGAAAGCAGAAGCAGCGCAGTTGAAGCCCCCAGCCCCTGTGCGAAGCGACTGCCGCTCTGCCTGTTGCTGCTCTCGCAGGGCTGAGGAGCGGAGCTGCCTGCACCAACCCCACCGTCAGCTGCTGGGTGCTGCAGCAAGTCCTGGGCTCCCTCCGCGCATCCAGGTCAGCCCCAAACGTGGCAGCTGGGGGCCCTGCCCTACACCCCTCGTCCTACCAGCAAGCAGCTCCCGCCGAGGAGCAGAGCCAACCAGCTGAGGGCGTGCGATGTGAATGGCCCCTTTCTACAAGCAGAGCTCTCACCTCCCTCTCTCTTGCCTGGTGGCACCGACCCAAACGCTGCAGAGGTCCAGCAACCCGCAGGGAACACAAGGAAGCATCGCTTCCTCTCCCCATCCCGTGCTGGCAGCGGGGCCGAGGCCGTCCCCCCTCTGCTCCTCTTTGGGAGCACCTGCTCGGCTCTCCCGCTCAAACACTCTCCCCATTCAGAGCTCACACAGTGAGCCAGTGAATTCCTCAGCGCCGTCCCAGCTCAGAGGCGAGGCTGGGGTGGCCACAGACATTAATTATCACCAACGCTAAGTTGGCAAATTATGCATGCGGCGGTGCTGAACTCTGAGCTTGAGATTTCAGCCGCTGCGTGCCGGGCCAAAGCACTTCTGCACAGAAGAGCTCCTGCTGAAGCAGGGGGGAAGCAGCGCTGGAAAAGGAGAGCTCCACCACACCAACAATTCCTTAAGCGTGCAGAAGTCGAGAGCAAGTGCTGCTCGCTGCCCCGTTCCCCTACCAGAGTACGGATTGCTGCTCAGGCTGCCATCTCTTCCAGTCAGTGGGGTGGTGGGCGTAGGGAATGGGATGCTGTAATAATCCTGAAGGATAAAAGAGAAGTTCCATAAGTTCTGTCTGAAGATGCAAAGCAGCTGTGTTTGGTGAAGCAGGGATTCCAGGCCCGTGTCAGAGTACGGCAGTTCAGTCGGTCGCATTGAGGCTGACCTCAGCTGCACAACCCCAGGTTTTTCTGGCACGCACCGTCCCCCTCATCTGGCTACAGGAACAACCAGACAAGGTCTACTGGTGTGCAATCCTGCCTGTGCTTTGCCCACCAAGGGGCAGCGCCCTGCTTCCTAAATAAAAGCCATCCTCCAGGATTCAGCTACTGCCTCTTTCCAGCATCAGAGGCGAGCTCTGCAACAGCTTCTCACTCTGCTGTTGGACGGAACGGCTCTGCTTGCTGCAGCTCCTTCGCCCCACAACCACCGATACAACAGCACGAAAAACTGTTGCTGTTAATTCCCAAAGGAACTAAAGCAAAAATAAAGGAATCACACAAAGGAGTGATTCGTTGCCCTCCTGCCAAACAGGGGGGACCCTTCAGCTCCCAGCCTGCTGCCTGTGCCCATCTTCAGCACTCACCAATGGGAATCTCGTCTGGAGCATTTGCAGGTCATCATATCCATACACCTGTGGCTAGAAAAAAGAGCAGGAGGTGATGTTAGAGACAAAGCCATTTATCTAACTGACAGCCAGCGCTCAGGTTAACGGCAGATAAAGCTGGAAGCAGAAGATCAGGGCCCACGCCATTATCAAGGATGAAGCAGCCAGCAATCACTGCTGCAAGGCTGGCACAGCCAAGGGTTTCTCTGAGCTGCTGGAAGGAAGAGAGCACCAACGTCTGGCAGCGCTTCAGACTGCGGAGGCATCCAACAGTTCTCCTCCAGAAGCAACTGCAACCCCCAGATCTGTCTCCACCTTCAGAAGAAAGCTGTGACACCACCCCAGGCTCTGTGGCATTGCTTCCCTCGTTACGTTTGCCATTTGTCACACAACACTGACAGCTCCAGACTTCCATTAATCTCCACCCAAATTGGCCGCTCCCTAAAAGCTGTGACGGAAAACAGCAGCTCCAAACTCCTCGGTCCCGAATGCTACCCAGTTTTTTGGTCATAGAGTGAACCAGGTTAAATCTCTCCCTGCCAGCTGGAGTCGGGAAGAACAGAGTGCCAACCACGCTGCTGAGTGCTGGGGGTCCCCGGGGGTCGCACTCACCGGGTAGGCATGTAGCAATCCTGGAGCCATGATGTACGGGTTAGGCAACAACGGTGGGACTCCAGGGGGGAGGTTGGGGGGGGCTTTTCCTGCAAAAGGGAAAGAAAGGGAACGTCAAGCAGCAGAGCCAACAGCAGAAACTCATTTCTTTGAGCCTCCCTGCGAGGTCTGGTCTGATTGTGACTATTATGAGGCTTGAGGTGGAGAAGGCGAGGATTGTTTTGATGTCATTTTGGGTGAGGGCGCAGATGGCGGCAAATAGTGTTGATAGGGAGCCTGGGCATAGGCACGTGGTTAGGGCTGTTTTGTTAGAGGTTAGGATGGCGTGGGTTGGAATGAGTAAGAAAATTCGGGCTGCTGCTATAGTGCTGGAGTGGAGTAGGGCAGAGAGTGGGGTTGGGCCTTCTATTGCTGCTAGGAGTCGTGGATGGAGGCCGAATTGGGCTGATTTTCCTGTGGCGGCTAAGATTAGGCTGAGGAAGGGGAGGGTGGGTGTTTGGTTTGGTTGGATGGTCTGGTGGATGTCTCAGGTGTTTAGTGTTGAGGCTAGTCATGCTATGCTTAGAATAAGGCCAATGTCTCCGATTCGATTACAGATTATTGCTTGTAGTGCAGCTGTTAGCTTCGGCTCGTCCCTGTCATCAGCCAATGAGGAGGAATGATACGATTCCTGCTCCTTCTCATGCAATGAATTGGAGGAATACGTTGTTTGCAATGGTCAGTGTTAAAGTCCAGCAGCAGGGGAAGCACCTGATGTCGTCGCCACGGAGCTGCGAGTGGAGGCTGTCACCGTGGAGTTGCTGCTGAGGCTGAGGCCCAGGCTGCTGACGCTGCTGAGGCTGGATGAAACGCTTACGACCGGCGGGGCAGCCGACACCGTGCTGGAGGAGGTGGAGAAAGTGCTAGCAGAAGAATGGAGGCTGGCTTCACTCTCCACACTCGTGTGCTGGGGAAGGAAAGGAAGAGGTTACGGCACCAGGCTGACGTAAGGGGCTGCAGGGATATTGCAGGATGCAGCCGACGCAAAGCGCCGCACCGCTCCGCCTGCACACGCTGCCAAGGGCCTGCAGTGAACCCGGCCGCTGCAGGCTATGAGGAAACCTGCTCTGCATCTGGCTTCAGTCCAGAGATCTGAGAGGATCTGAGTGCAGCCAACCCACAACGCCTCCGAACTCAGGCAGCTGCGTCCCAACACGTGCCTGCTGGGAGCAGCAGGGCCGAACACCACGCTCGCAGCAGGGAGGTTCATTCTGCTGCAGGAGCCAACAGCGCGGAGCTCAGCTGCAGGAGCTCCAGGTATTTGAATGGTGCCCCTCCATCAGCTGGGAGGTTGCTCTAGCAGCTGGTTCCAGCTCTGGGGCATTTTTAAGAACTACTACAGGCTGGTGTGAAGCTGCTGTTACGTCTGACGCGGGCAAGGGGTCGACAGCCTTCAGCCAGAGGTGCAAGGGTGGAAATAAAGCCACCTGGTGTAGGGAACCCGCTTTGGCAGGGGGTTGGACTCGATGGTCTCTGGGGGTCCCTTCCAACCCCTACAATTCTGTGATGCTGTGATAGAGCTGCAATGCTCCAGTAGCCCCAGACTCACCAGAAGAGTTGAAGTTGATGTTCGCCCAGAGGATGTGGATGAGGACAGACTGTTCTGCTGGGTGGGTAACGTACTGCAGAAAGAGGAGAAGGGCCGTTAAACCAAGGTGCAAAAGCCTCTGCTGAGCAGCATCAGGCCAGATCCGCTTCCCATCTGACTGACTGACAAAGCTCATCCCCAGAGATGCCAAGAAACCCACAAGGAAAGGGTTTGCTGCCCTGAAGGAAAGGGCTTGCCTGCTTCCTGAGGGGAAGGAACTGCCAGAGCTCAGCCCCTCCTCTCATCTGTCTGGATATCGACGTGTTCGTTGCTGCAGCAACAGCCAAGCAGCTCCAGATGGACCCAGGCCTCCCCAAGGAGGCACCTTTGGATAGGACTGACCACCTCCCCCCTGCACGAGGGGCTTTTTGCCCACCAGACCTCTGTTTCCCCAGGCTCACCTGCTGAGCTGGGCGGCCGTGGTGCTTGGCAGCTCCTCGCTGTGGCTCAGGCTGCTCAGAGCTGTCGAATGCTGGCTGGCTGTGCTCAGCAGCGACGCCGCAGACACGCCGTCGTTGAGAGGCGTCATGCTGGGAGCAGAGGGGGAATCAGACTTCACTGCGGGGCCGGTAGCACCTGTGAACATGGAGCTTTGGGTTAGAGGCAGCACCCAGCAGCTCCTGGAGGGCAATGTAGCAGTGAGGATCAGCCAGGGCTCATTTAGAGGAGCAGGGAGAGCCGGGGCTTCCCTCGTGCTGCCAACCTTTCCATGCCTGGGAGTATATTCGTGTTCTACATCTCCCTTTGCCCCAAAACCACCACAGGGTCATTGCAAAGAGCTCCAAGCCCTACAAATGAGGCGCCTCTCACAGAGTAAATTATTGTAATCGGGGGGCAGGTATTATGAGTGACTCACAAACGATTCTGTGGAACTATCAGCAGAAAGCTGAACATTTCAAGGTACACAAATAGCACAAGCAGCGACAATTAGTCCAGCACAAAAAGGCTTTGCTATTAATCCAGATGAAGCTGTTCACCCGAAGCAAACACAAAAGCACTTGGAGCGGCTCAGGACACCCACAGCACTGCCAGACTCTTACCTTCAACAGCCTGCGTGCTTTGTAATGGCGTGGGTTGTACGGAACTGAAACCATTCTGAGGAAGAAAAGCAAAGTTAAGCACTGCAGCCTCTCACCCCCAGAGGCAATGCAGGGTCAACCCCTGCCCTCCCTCCCTCCCTCAGCTGTGAAAGAGGCTCACGACCAAAGCGACGTTACCGAATCTGTGCAGCACGCAAGAATCAAACGCATAAGACCAAACTGAAGCCTAAGCCTGGATGTCACCCTGCAGCAGGGTTCATCCACGACACGAAGCGTGGCCAGCAATCAACTCGACCACCATTAACCCCATTAACCCTGTCCCAGGTGAGCAAGAACTGAGGGCCCCGGTGCAGTCAGCAGGAGCTCAATGTGGCCACAAGCCTCGTGGTGAGCTGGAGCTGCACAGAATGCTTGCTTGAGCAACTCTGCTCCCCCTGAGGCAGCACTCCATGCACTGCGCTTTACTCAGCACAAAGGGGAGCGAAGCTGTCTTCCTACCTTGGCCTGGGGAAGGTCTTTCTGGGGCGAGGAGGAGATGGAATTTGGGTATCGCCTCGTCTGGGTGGATCTCTGTTCATACAGTGGTCCCTGAGCGCTGTTCTGGGAGGTAAATGTTGCTGTCTGTATTGTGCCGCTCTGGTAACCAGACTCCTGGCTTTGATTGGACGAAATTGTGGATGAAGATTCACTGGAAAGAACAACAACAAAAAGGTCGTTTTCCTCCTTACAGCCCTGCTGTAAAAGCTGCTGACACCAACTGCAGGCTCCTCCGTTTCCAACCTTCAGGGCAAAGAACCCCAGGGACCATGAGGGGGCAACGCAGGGCAGGCAAACAAACCCAGCACAGAAGGAAACCCAGAAAGCAGATGCTCCGAGCTGCTGCTCTGCTCCAAGCATCACAAGCTGCCACCGCTCAGGTCCCAGCACTCAAGGAATGACCCAGCCCAAAAGAAAATAGGATTGCTGTTCTATCCCTGTCTGCAGATGCACAAACTGCCCTCCGTCCCCATGTTAGGGGAGCACAGATCTGCTCACAGGAGCAAGGAGCAGCTGCGCTGCAGATTCCCCTGCAGGATTTCCAGCCGAATTCACTGCAGCAGGAAACATTGGCTTTCTGTACAAGCACCAGAGGCCGACCAGTCACAGAGCTGCCCAGAACAGCCTGCTGGCAGCTCGTGCTTTGCTGTCGCATACACTGTCCCCCCCTTTGCGACCACAGGCAGAGTCAGAAAGGGTCTACTGGTATGCAGCATAGCCGCCAGCCTGCAGGTGAGCTCCTGAAGCTGGGGCGCCCCATTTCCCTGCCCGGGGCGCTCACCTAGCAGTGCTGGTGTACAGGCTGCTCTGAGGTTGGCTGACAGCAGCGCTCGTCGTGGGCGTCGATTCGTACTCGGCGAGAACGGGCTCCGAACCAAACTGCAACGCCCCAAACTGCAGGTTTAACCCTGAGATATCTGCTGAGCCAGGCATCTCCACCGCCAGCGCAGGAATCTGCAAGGCAAGGGGAGAACGGAGCCGCTCAGTCACTTCCCCCCAGGAGCAGCAGCACGCAAAATGACATCGGCGTCCCCAACCCCAGGCTCACATCCCCCCGGTTTCCCTTTGCCACCCTGGAAGGCCGAGCCCTCCTCCGTCACCCCGCAAACAAGAGATCTGACACCAGGAAGGCCCTGCACCTTTGATGTTAACGATGCTTTCTTCTTTTGCTGTTTCAGCTTCTGCTGTGCAGGTTGGGGACTGGAGGACTGGTTGTCTGAGGAGCCCGGGGACATTTGGGGAACGGGGTTGGCTTTGCTGGGCAGCGGCGAAGACGGCGGCGCCGGCACGGTGGTGGAGGCTGTCACCACAGGCTGCTTCTCCTGCATGAACACCTCTATCATCGTGGAAGTGGACGTGAAGGCCTGCCTCTTGGCAAAGGGGCTGTGCACAGAGGAGTCCGTTGGGTTCTTGAGATCTGTGGGAGAGGGGAAAGCACCAAATGAGGATTAATTTCCTTAGAAGCAAAGCACGGTCTGACGTTGAAAAACAGAAGCGCTGCACACGCTGCCTGCTGGGGCCTCTTAACATCAGGGAGCAGAGAATCCCTGCACCCCCGCTCCCACCTCCCTCCTTTCACCAGCATCACACTGAGATTTTTAAGGCCCTCTTCCCTGAGTTCATTCCACCACCTCCGTGGGACAAAGCTCACAAAGCAGAACTCCTCCATCCTCCTGCACGGAGGCACCTCGTGCCCCCTGGCACAGGTTTGGTGCTGCTTCCTTCCCCTCCCATCCTGTCTGCTCCTTCCCCCATGAGCGACGCTGCTGCCCGGGCTGCCCACCCCCAGCCCTGCACAACTGCAGACACAACTCCTATTCTGCCCGATGCTCTCCTCTGTGGCTCCTTGTCTGGAGAGACCAGGAGCTGCCAACACCGACTGCAGCCAGGACAGGGCTCAATTTTTAATTCAGCTTAGATTTGAACCAGAGCCATTTCGCTACAGCAAGAAAGAAAGCGCGCAGCGCTCAGCTGCAGCAGGGCTCAGCACCTCATCCAAGCAGGAGCTTCTCTTCATCAGCCTTTACTTTCACGCCAGCCCAGAGGTAGAGTTACTTCTTGGCACCAAGCAGCCACCAGAATCACATTCCTTTGAAAGATGCATCGGGTCAGCAGCGAGGTGGCACTGACAAGTGTTTGTATTCAGAACCATCCGCTGCAGGTGCCTGCTGGCTGGCCTCCTGTTACGCAGCCCTGCGCCCAGCACCAGAGGTGCCTGCCATTTCTGCAGCTGAACTCAGCTCGTTTGCCGAACCCGAGGGGCAAACGGTCAAACTGCTTTCAGATCTGATCCTGACGCAACTCTGCGGAGCTGCTGCCCTTACCGTACTGCACCAGGGATGAGGTCTGTGCGGCCGATCCCATGTCCCAGGAGGAGGCGGCGGTGCTGCTGCCTGGCTGGCTGTGCTGAGCTGCCAGCTGGGCCAGAGCCTGGGCCGTCTTGAACTGCTCCAGGAACTGCGAGCCCGTGGTGCTGCTGCCTTTGGCCTCCCCGACGTCTCCAAAGCCTTTCCCCAGCATGCTCACCTGCAATTGCACAGAATCACAGAATCACCCGGGTCGGAAGGGACCTCAAGGATCTCGTAGTTCCAACCCCCTGCCCAGCAGGGCCACCAAACATCCACATTCACATCAGGTTGCCCAGGACCCCGTCCAACCTGGCCTTGAACACGGCCAAGGACGGGGCATCACAGCCTCCCTGGGCAGCCCGTTCCAGGGCCTGACTGCTCTCCTGTTAAAGAACTTCCCCCTAACATCCAACCTCAATCTTCCCTCCTTCAACTTGGATCCATTTCCCCTCGTCCTGCTGTTGTCAGCCCTTCTGAAGAGTTTACTCCCCTCCTGGGTGTGGGTTCCCTTCAGGTATTGATAGGCTGCACTGAGGTCACCCCGCAGCTTCTCTTCTCCAGGCTGAACAAGCCCAACTCCCTCAGCCTGTCCTCATAGGGGAGGTGCTGCAGCCCCCTGCTCATCTCAGTCGCCCTCCTCTGGACCCTTTCCAACATCTCTCTGTCTTTCTTGTCCTGAGGGCTCCACACCTGGACACAGGACTCCAGATGGGGCCTCACAAGAGCCGAGTAGACAGGGACGATCACCTCCTGTCCCTGCTGACCACCCCTCTCCTGATGGAGCCCAGGATCCCATTTGCCTTTCGAGCTGCCACAGTGCACTGCTGCCTCGTGTTAATTGCAGCGCGGAAACAACAAAGTCAACGTCTCCCCTGTCTGGGAATTTGGCTCAGGACAGGTGGGTCTCAACACCCTGCTGCTCCTCACCACCAGGGAGACTTCATCCCTGTCATCCCACACAGTTCCACACCTCAAACCGTTCCACTTTCAAGGGCAAGAGGGCAGAAACGATCCCAAGCATGAAGCACTGGGATCCACGCCTCTATCTACAGCTGCTGCAGTCCCCTGGGAGGACTTGCTGCTCAATACAGGCTGGTATTCCCCACCTTGCCCACACGCACAGAACATCCTGGAAAGCCCTGCTTGTAGAAGTGCTGCCCCCTTACCATGCTGTGGTGAGAGAAGGAGTTCCCAGAGGCCGGCTGGGACATCGCGCTCTGCTTGGAATTGCTGAACACCAGAGGCTGTGCCAAGGAGGGAGCCTGGGAGGACTCCAGGTTTGTTGACTCATTCTCCATGGAAGAGGGTGTCTTTCCTAGCAGCACTGCAAGGTCGATTCTGGATGAAGGAAGAAGAGAAGCCCTGAGGTGAGCAGGAGCTCCCGCGCCGCTTGCTTTGACACCAGCAGTTCTACCTCCAACCCCACGATTCTTATCTCACACACCAACAGATCCGCACAACTTCACACAGCCGACACCAGCAGCCTCAAAGGGACAAAGCCTGGCAGCATCCTATCTACATTCATAGAACCCACACTTCAAACACTGGAAAAAGACCCCAAAATCTGAAGAACCAGTGAAGAACCAAACCAGAACACGGACCCAAAACCTCCTCACTCAACCCCTACGTCTCAGCCTGCGTTAGCTAATTCAGAGCTGCTGTTTCTATCTAGCTGGCAGGGATTTGGCTGGGATGGGACTCGTAGCCTCTTATGCATGGCACGGCACTGCTTGAGCCATCACCTCTGTCCAGCTGTGATTGTCACGTTCTCTGTAGGCAGAGGCACTGAAGACACGTTGGATGCAGTGAAGATCTTTGTCTCAGACAGCTGAAAGAGAAAAGAGGGGAACAGAACGCCAAGTCAGAGCAGCACAAGAAGCACACGGCGCTGGAGACAAACAGCCACGAACGACTCGAGGAACTGAGCGTCTGATCCTCTCCACCATTTGGCTCCCATCACAATCAGTGTTATTTGTCGCTTCCCCAGTCAGGAATAAATCCTTCTACACATTTCCTGCAGTTCCCAAACCCACCAGGACTGCTGGGGTCTTCTGTGCTTTGCAACGATGGTGTGCAGCACCGGTGGAAATGCCACCATGCAGGTGGGTGCAAACGCTGCTGGAAAAGCCAAAGGAAAAAAGCTTTGGATCGATGGTTTGGCTTCCAGCAATCATTTGGGTGATGGGACCGGAGAGCAAAGGATCTCTTCACGTTATGGAAGAGAAAATAAAGAGGAAGCAAACAAAAGGCAAAATTAATGAGGCTCTGGGCTCAGCCACAGGTGCCATCTGAGCTGAGGCGAGGAGGTGAAAGCAGACGAACTGCAGGAGTGTAAAAACAATCACAGCAGTGAGGAACTGCTGAGAGATCACACAGGCTGAAGGCAAAAAGGCTCTGAAGCCTCTCCTCCAGCAGAGACCTGACGGAACGCAGGGGCTGCCCTGAGTTTTGCATCTCAGATGCAGCAACATTCACTCATTCATCACAGCTCCCCTGGGCTCTGCCTGCAGTTTGCACAGGAGCAATCCGTGCAGCTTCTCTCGCCGTGCACAGACAGGACAGCAGCTGCCAGCACACAGAGGTGCAGGGAGGGGTTGCAGGGTACCTACATCTTCATTCCAGTCCTCCGTGCCCCACTCCTCCGTCGCAGCCCTCCACGCACCTACGGGGGGAACGAAAGGCAGACAAGTCAGGCGTACAGCAAAGCTCTTCCAAGAGCCAGGGAAGCACCGGGGGGGGCTCGGCAAGCAGCTGAGAGGACTTTATTTGCCAACCAGAAGTCAAAGCAGGCGATCCCAACCTCAGGCTTAGGGCCAGGTCCCCATACGGTGAGGCTAAGCGGAACCAAAGGGACCCCGGGCCAGCGGGGAGGGCAGCGCACAGCCCAGCACCCAGTGGAACGAGGAGCTCGGCAGGGAAGCCCTTCTGCCCCGATTCCCTCCTGCAGCAGCACCCAAGCAGCTGTGATCCCGGCAGCTCTGACAGAGCTCCTCCAGGTTTGCCACCAGGCTTTGGCCTCCCACAGCACAGAGCAACAGAGCCGTTCTGGGGTTGGCTTGCTTTGCTCCCCCCCTCCAAAGCGTTGAAGCCTCGGTTGCACCAAAAACGCGTTCAGGGAAAGGAAGATGTGCCAATTTCAGAGAAATGGCCAAAGCCAGCAGCTTAAAGCATCAAAGAGCAAAGCTTTCAGATTTCAGGCACAAGGATTCAGACACAATCCGTTACAGCACCATTTGCAAGCAAGATTCACAGAAGGGAAAAGCTTTGCCCGGCTGTATCTGCTGCGCGTTCAGTCCCTCTCACCCACCACAAGTGAAGCTCCATCTGCTGAATTCTACACGGGGGATCCCAAACCCATCAGGCAACTCAGAATTTGGAATAGAGAGTGGGAGAACTTTCCATCGCCCACAAATCGGGTGCCAAAGCACCGCTGCTGTGCCCAGGGCAGCGTCAGAAGGGGAGCGCAGCCCCAGAGCGGGGCGCCTGGAGGCACTCGAGGACAGAGCTGCCATCAGCCCCCCTTCAGCAGCTGAGAGGCCCTGGAGGCACACAAACAGCACGTGGGATTTGGGATTTTGGGGGAAGAAGGCAGGTTTTCCCCATTCACATTTCAGTCACGGGGCCAAAAGCGATCTCAACGATCTGCTGATCTACTGGTGGGGAGCGCAGAGCTCCAAATCAGCAATGAAGTGATCCGAGAAACCTTGGATCGATTTTAAGTTGGATTTACAGATAGGGACGTGGACAGAACGCAGCTCCTTTGGCTGCTGGGAGCCTCAGGGCTGTGGCCCATTCCTCCCCAGGCTCTCAGCCATCAGCACAGAGCGCAGCAGGGCGCTGGGGAGCTGAGCTTTGTGCTGCTCATCACCACAGTTTCCCGATGCAGCCAGCAGTGCAGCACAGGGCTCCACTTTCTGCTCACTTTAGGGGGAAATAAGACAAAAAGCAAAGCAGCAAGGAATTCAGAGAGGAATTCAGCCCTGCACAGAAGGCCTTCGAGGAGCAGCCGCCCTCCTTAAGCTCAAAGCAGGAGAAGGAGAGGAACGTCAACAGTGGTTTGCAAATATCAGTGTTGTCTTGTGGGGTGTTTTAGGCAAAGCTGCACTGCCCTGTCTCGCAGCACAGGGGGTTTCAGTAGTTTAGCAGAGAAATGCCCCAATGCAAAGCAGCTGCTCGGTGTGCTTGTGGGTCTGCAGCAAGAACTGCTGGAAAACAAGAGATCCCACCGTGAGCTCGAGGGCTGCAAAGAGAAAATCTCTTATTCTAAGCTGGGAGGCGAGCAGCCCAGACCCCACCTGCAGCCACCCTGAAGGCTTGGAGGTCTGACCCCCAACTGCCCCACACCTCAATGCAGACAAAGGCCCAGCAGTGGCACAGCCAGCAGCCACGTGCTGGCGGCAGTTAATCGTTAACCTGGAGGTGCTTCAGAACAGCAGCAGCACTCCGAGCCCCAGCGGTTCCCTTTCCTCTCATAACTTCCAAGAGCAAAGCAGCAAGGCCTCCCAAAGGGCATCTGTCTGACAGCCCAACCAGCAGGACCTTGTCTGAGGAACTGGGCAAACACCCCGTTATGTCTGGGGCCTTCTTGTGGCCACCCAGCAGCCTTAATAAGGCAAAGTGGAACGGCCCACGGGTTTCTCTCGGCTTCACAAGGCATGAAATAAAGCAGGACAGGACTGACCTGACTTGGAGGCATTCAAAGCCAGGCTGGATGTGGCTCTGGGCAGCCTGGGCTGGTGGCTGGCACACAGCAGGGGGGGTCGAAACGAGATGATTATTGTGGTCCTTTTCAACCCAGGCCGTTCTACGATTCTACGACCAGGCACTGAGCAGCACCCTGCTCCCCCCGAAGCACAGAGCACCAGCAGGGCAGCCCTGCTTCGAAGAAAAGCAGCACGGCACAGCAGCGTGCCAAAGCAGCCCTTCAAGCACCGAGGGCCAGCTGTAAGCAGAGGCAAAGCACCGAGGGGGCTGAGCAGAGCTGAGCAGAGCTGAGCAGAGCCGAGCGCCCTTGCAGCAGCATTCTGAGCCCGTGCAAAAAGGCAGCAGCAGGGCGACGGCTGCAGGGATGTGGGAGCAGCATGGGATCACAGAGCGCTGGGGCCCAGCTGCCCTGAGCTGCTGGGGGGCTCTGTCACAGCGCTGGGGGGCTCTGTCACAGCGCTGGGGATGCGGCGCTGCTGCGGGCGCTCAGAGCGGCGCCTGAACCCCGTGAACCCGCCAGGAAAGGGTTAAACCTCTCCCGGTTTACATCTGAGGTGTCAGCATTAGTAAAAGCACGGTCAGAACAAGCGTCAAAACTCGTTAAAGTGAACGAATGAAGAGAGGAGAACGACATATCCACAGATATTTTCAAGTCGGTCGGAAAAAGAGCTATAAGGTAAAGGGATCCCGGGGCAGTCGGTGCACCTGGGTGTATCGTACCAGGAGCAGTGTCAAATTTTCGGGGATAATTTGAGCCCTCACCCCCAATGAAATCAAGTCCTGAAACAAAAGAAAAGAAAAGAAAAAAGACAACCAGTGAAATTTTGACTCCGGTGAAGCCGCCTCGCCGCCCCCCACGTGTGGGGATGTTGTTGAGGGGGCACCCGAGGGCACCGCAACAAAACCTGGCACCGCTCCGTGCCTCAGTGTCACCCCACAGCACCCGAGAGCAAGGGCTGCAAAAGAGCCCCCAAAAAACAGCGAGACAACAGCTGAGCTCAGAGCAACGTCCTCAGGGGGCGAAAACGCGGAGGACCTGAGCGCGTTTGAGGACAAAAGGCTTTTCCTGGGGACCCCAAAGTGAGGCGAGAGCTGCCAGGTCCCTGCTGGCACATCCAGCTCTGAGTTGCCACTGTCACGAGGTGGCCTTTGTGATCAGGACTACAGGCTGAAGGTTTGTGTCACAGCAAAGACGACGCACGCAGGACGAGCGGGGCTCACTTACTCGTGCCGTCGTCCGGCTCGAAGCTGCCCGTGTTGTTCCACGTGTTGGTGCTGCTATTCCCATAGCTCTCATCCGTGCTGGTTGGCTCGGCGTAGTCAGCTGGGTTGAAAGTTCTGCCAGACAGGAATGGGAAAGATTTCAATCACCTTCCCTGCGTAACTGATTTAATTCCCATTGTAACGGGGCCGAGACGTTGCCAGCTCTGCCTCACGGAGCGAGGCTTCAGCTGCGTCAGCCCTTCCAAATCCCAGCGCGACGCAACTTTTACTTTACTCGTGTGAAAAAACAACACAAGGCCGAGGCAGAGGGCAGCATTCGTGTACAAAGATGTGATTTTTGCTGTGCTTTATAGCAGTGAAACTTACCCCATGCCTTGGGCAGAGAATCTTCCCCCCCGCCTTCCAGAGCCACCTGTAAGACACACACAGCGCTGCATCACAGGGCAAAGGAACATCCCAGCAACAGATGGAGCCCTGATGCCCAGAATATGAAAGTGCTGAGGATCCCCCTGAGCTGATGGGGTTTCCAGCAGCCTCTCTGCATGTACACCAATGACCTCAGCTGGCTGCCAGTGCCACCGGCCGTAAGCGACGCCAGGCTCAGATGAGGTTTCCAGCTGGCAAAAGCCAGAAAACCAAACCCCAGGTTCTCATTTCTGCAGTGTGCATCCTCAGCAACAACTCCTGAGCCACACAGATTTTGCAGGAGAACGAATTGCTGCTGCTTAGCACTTAAAAACCAAGCCAAGGGTTTGCTTGGTGCTCAGAGACAGCGGGCAGCGATGGGGAGGATGCAGAATCCAGAGCCTGCTGCTAACAAGCAGCCTGCAGACAGGCGCCTCTGTGCAGGAAGGCCACACCAGCTGGGATGTGAAAATTCCTTACAGCTCCTAACGCACTTGGAGCGACACGCAGGCACTGAGTTCAAGTGTCAGGTTGGAAAAACCAAGCTCTCATTTATCAGTTCAGCAGCCTCCCTCTTAAGAGCTCCAGTCTCCACCCCGCGCCCACAGCCCTGCGCTCACCTCGGCCCCGGCCACGTCCCCGTCTTCCTCTCTCTGTGCCTCTGCCAGAAGAGCCTCCACTCTTCCCACCATCCAGCCCGTTCTCCTGGCCCCGAACTGAAAGACAGAACAACACAGAGACCACCTTAAGACCCATTAAGACCACCAGACCAGACCTCAAGAGCCCAACGCAGCGGCCGTGCAGGGAACCGAGCGCCCTGCCACCTCATAAGCGAGAGCACGGCACAAAGGATGCATCTCACACAGGGCAGCAGCACACAGGCTGCCACACGAGGGTGATTCCCCCCCCCCAGCACCCAGGGGGGCGCAGAGTGCAGTGCTGTGCTGCTGGAAGGAAGGCTGCCTGCTTACACTCTCTGCCACGGCTGGCACCCCGGCCCCGTCGCGGCGGCCCTCCACGTCGCCGGCTGAAATCCCGATCTCTCTCCCGGTTCTCTTTGCTCTCCTCACTGGGTTCTGTCTGTCCGCTGTCCTTCTGTCCCGAGACGCCTTTCTTCTTCCCGACCATCTCCCAGGAATGCTGGAGATTTGCAAAAACGGAAAGCAGTTAAACTGAGTCCCAAAACGACCAAGTCAACTCCCCAGAGCGCTGCAGGATTGCTCTCTCAAAACCCAAAATCCCTCCCTGACCACGGGATGAGAAGATGAGAATTTACCCATAGGTGAGTTCAACTCATAGAAGGGCCTGGGTTGAAAAGGACCACAATGATCACCTGGATCCAAACTCCTGCTGTGTGCAGGGTCACCAAACAGCAGCACAGGCTGCCCTGAGAACCCACGGGGTGCCATAGGGATCCATAGGGTGCCATTAGACCCTACAGTGTGCCATAGGGATCCATAGGGACTCATAGAATGGCCTGGGTTGCAAAGGACCACAACAGCCATCAGTTCCAACCCCTGCTGTGTGCAGGTCACCAACCAACAGCCCAGGCTGCCCTGAGAACCCATAGGGTGCCATAAGGATCCATAGGGTGCCATAAGGATACATAGAATCACTGACTCATAGAATGGCCTGGGTTACAAAAGATGACAATGTTCACCTCATTCCAACCCCCTGCTGTGTGCAGGGTCACCAACCACCACTGCAGGCTGCCCTGAGAACCCATGGGGTGCCATAGGGATCCATAGGGAGCCATTAGATCCTACAGGGTGCCATAGGGATCCACAAGGTGCCATAATCATAGAATCATCATAGAATCTTAGGATGCCCTGGGTTGCAAAGGAGCACAACGGCCATCAGCTCCAACCCTGCTGTGTGCAGGTCTCCAACCAGCAGCCCAGGCTGCCCAGAGCCACATCCAGCCTGGCCTCCAATGCCTGCAGGGCTGGGGCATCCACAGCCTCCTTGGGCAACCTGTGCCAGTGCCTCACCGCCCTCAGGGTGAGAAAACCTCCCCCCAAGCTCAGCTGCACAAAGCACACCTCCACCCCACTGCCCACGTGAGCTGACTTCACAACAGCCTGCAATGGGCTCCTGTCCTTAAATTGATGCTGCACGCTGTTAAGATTAATTAAAAGCAGTTACAGGTCGTTGGCAAACACCTGAAAACGCAACTGGTGGAGAAGCAAAGAGCTGCTTTGGGATGGCAGCACGCAGGGGCAGGGATAAAAATCCTTGGAAGCACAAAGTGCCTCCAAACCAAAGGGCTTCTGATGCCCCTGATGCTGTTATCTGTAGCTCAGGTAAGTCAGAAATGCATTCCTCCAGTGGTGTCACTTCCAGCCCAGTCAAACTCAGGGGCAGAGCACAACAGCTCTGCGTTGTTTGGAACAGGGGACACCGAGTTACGAGCTCAGGAGGTGAGCTGCCTCCATCAGCAGGAGAGCATTTAAGCCTTTAACAAGTCTGTCCCCTTATCAGGAAATCCCTTATCAGCACCACACCGGCTGAACCCGGACCAGAAGCAGCTCCCAGACCCCAGCACCTTCATCTCCTCCCTCCTTCTGAAAGGATTTTCCAACAGCAGCTTTGCTCAGTGTTCCATGGGAGGAGCTCCCTGAAGGCAAAGAACCTTCCTGTGTGCTACAGCAAACCCAGCAGCAGCAAAGCACCCAGCAACCAGAGGCCGCTGTGCTGAACAGAAGGCAGCCCTGCCCTCTGCATCCACCTGCACTCAGAAAGAGGGGGGGGAAAAAGGGGGTAATGTGACATCCTGAAGCAGCAGCACCTGTATGAGGGGCAGCAGCCAAGGCCAACTCAACAGAGAACAACACCAGCACGCAGATGGGGAGAAGACCCCCAGAACGGTGACTGCTGGGCCCAGAGACACAGCAGCCCACTGAGGAGGAGCAGGGAGCGAAGCATCTGCTGCTTGTTGGCCGTGCTCACGCCTTCTGCAGCCCTAAGAAGCCTTAAGGAGGCAACCAAGCTTCCCAAATTACTCGTGCAACTCGTGGCTCTCGTTCTCGAGGCTTTACGGTGTGTTTCATCTCCAAATCTGTGGTGATGCTGAATTTGGCCTCACCAGATTCGCAGCACCCAACCCTACCGTGTCGGGATTGCCCTCCAGCAGCACGTTGATGGCTCTGTTAACATCCCCATTGCAGTCGTGCAGGGCAATCACACACTCGTCCTGGTTCTTCCCCGTGATGTCAATCAGCTGTAGAGAAGACAAGAGCAAAGTCAGCGCGTCCCGTGCCCGCAAAGCACCGACATCCGCGTGGGTCTCAGAGGTCCCCAAACACAAATCCCACGTAGAAACGCCAGCGTTTGGCAGCCCTGCCAGCTTCCAGCTTAGCGGTGCCCCCAAACGAGCAGCAAATCCCCAGCAATGAGTTTCTGAGCCGCTGAGTCCCATCACAGCGTGGCCTACGAGCTCCTCGGCTCGGGATGCTGCTGCTCCTTCTGCTCTGGGGCTGCAGTCAGCTGGCCCAGGACAGCAGCACGGCGCATCCCCTCTGCCACCACCCTCCCCTCTCGCACTCACCTGTTTCACCTTCTCCTCAAAGTCAGCGTCGTTGTGGTCCGAAATCATCTGTGCAAGTCGAATCTGTTCCGCGGTGGCCTAAAGAGACGAGGCACCAAAAGAGAGCACGGTTAGCATGCAGCTCCTCAGCTCGGCTCCCGGAGGCCACGCTGCTTCCAGAAGGAGCAGACGCTACGAAAAGAGGTACGAAAGGGGGCTTTGGGAGGAGGAAAGCAAAGCAGGCAAAGGGGGAGCGAGGCAGGGAAAGCGAGGAGCACCACCAGGCGTCCCGCGTCACCTACGGCGGCCTCAGCACCACCAGAACGCGGAGCCAAAAGGCAGGGAGCTCGGGGCTGGTTGTGAAAAGCCAAGAGGAGGCGAAGGGCCGGAAGCACGCGGGGTGCAGCGGCACCGCAGGACAGCCCAGCTCCCGCGCCAGGGCTCCACCTGCACCCAGCTGGTCGCCCAGGACGCTGCCCTTACCTGCGGCCGCTGCTTGTGCTGTGTCTGGCTCTGTGTCTGTGTCTGCTCCCAGCTCCCCCGGGCTCGGTTAGTGCCCACCGATGTCATCATTTACAGTATATACAAATAACAGTATTTACAAGGTAGAAGTCTGCGGTGGGGCAGGGGGGGGGAGAAGAGAGAACAGGCTGTTAGAAACTGGAAACGCACGGCGGCACCGACACGGAGTGAGAAACACCAGCACAGACCCACATCCCCGACCCCACGCTGCGTCCCAGAGGGAAATGCCCCCCCGGGGGGCTGACCTGGCACAGAACCACCCCAAAAGCACGCGGTGCTTCACAAAGCCCTACAGCGGCAGAGCGGGCCGCCCCAGAGCCTCCAAAAGCTGCCAGCTCTTCTCCTTTTGTGCCTTCAGACCACAGGGGAGCAGCGCCCTTCACTACAGGTGCTGCTGGGGGTATTTCTCCCTTGAACGCATCACCCACGTAGAAACAACTGCATGTTTTTCCCTTATTCTATCTGCCCCGCAGATCTCGGAACGTTCCGTTGTCTCCTATCGAGCATTCTAGATTTAAAAGCTACCAAAAAATGGAAAGAACTCAACGCCAACGTGGGACAACAGCGAGGAAGGCGGCTGTGGAAGCGCTGGAGCTCAAAGGCCCTGGAAGAACCTCGGCGAGGATCAGCAGCCTGATGTGGGAAGATTCCAACACCAACAGCAGCAGGGGATGGCGGCGCCCTGCTGCCCACGAGAGGAGACCCTCAGCAGCTGTAAAAAGTCACCCTTGGGGCGACTGATTCCTCACGGCAACTTAAGGGGAGCTCTGTGCTGACGGGGCTCCGGCGTCACGGCGCTGCAGAGCCGCAATTTGGGGGCAACTGCAATTTGGGGGCAACTGCAATTTGGGGGCAACTGCAATTTGGGGGCAACTGCAATTTGGGGGCAACTGCAATTTGGGGGCAACTGCAATTTGGGGGCAACTGCAATTTGGGGGCAACTGCAATTTGGGGGCAACTGCAATTTGGGGGCACCACACGGCAGCCACGCCGCGCTCCCTCCCCGCTGGGCTCGCTTCCACTCCCAACGCTTCATCTCTTCCCATCCTAAGATCTCACACACAACCACGTCGCCGTGTCGCACCAACCCAGCGGCACCACAGCCCCGGGGAAGCGACGCTGTGCTCACTTAACCTGCGGTTCCCATGGGCTCCGGCAGCGCTCTGCCCCCCAGCTTTGGGCAGAGTTTGGCAGCTGCCGCGCTCTGCTCGGCCCCGCTGCGTTTCCAGGACCGTTCAATCATTCTTTACGTGCAAAAAAAAACACCACCAAAGAAGTCGTTCTACCAGCAGCACCGTCCCGCAGAAAGCGTCAGGTGAGCTCTGCTCCAACGCCACTCCTCCGCCCGTAACTTCAGCACAGCTCAGGGGCAACGTTTCAATGCCAACATTCCCTATCCCAGCACCCAAACCATCCCCACGCGTGTAACGATGCGCTTCGCAACGGGTTCGGGGTGGATTTATCAAACCTTCCATCTCCTTTTGTTTTGCTTTAAGAAGGAAAACAAAACCACACGCGTGCAGCTGCAATAAAAATGGGCGACGGCGGCCAAACAAAGCAAACTCCCCAGCAAAGCCCAGAGAAACGGCGCTCAAATGGGAAACCTTCAAGACAAGGGGATGGGATCGAAGGGCTGCAGCTCCGGGTTACGGGATCCTGCATTAAAGGGGTTGCAGTGCATCGCCTTCCCCATCAAACCGCGTCCCACAGAGCCGAGCCCCGGGCTGCACGGAGCCTCTAAAAAGAGAGGTGATACAGAGACAGAGCGCAACGGTTCACTTTATTGGGAATTCAGGGGAGTTACAAGGCAGAACGGGGCTCTGTGCTCACGGCCGCTGCTCCCGGGTGATGCCAGGCGAGCCCCAGCGCGGCCCAGCCTCAGTTTCCCTTATCTGCTAGGGTGGAAAAGCGGCACTTCCACACCCCTCCTGCAAAGCTCTGCTAGCACGGCAAAAAGGCTCCAAAGTTCCAAAGGAAAAAAAGGGCGAACGCGCGAGGAAATCTCCCTACGGCGGCGAGCACCGCAGCGCGGCACGCGCGGCTCGGATCCGCGGAGCGAACCCCGCGTGCGTGCGGAGCCCCGCGGCCGGACGGGAAAGCCCGCAGCGCCCAGCCCCGGGCTCAGCCCGCGCTCGCACGGCGGGGCGGCGCCTCCCGGCCCTTTGTGCTCCGCGGCCCCGGGGATCCGCCCGGTCCCGGCCTCGGAGGGACCCGCGGCGCACAATGGGGGCGGCCCCGCGGGGAGGGCCGAGCCCGGGCCCCTCCGCCTCCCCCCGGCAGCGCGGCGCCAGGCCGGGCCGCTTCCGCCCTCATGGCCGCGGCCGCCATTCCCCGCCCGACGCGGCCGCCCCCGCCCGCCCGCCCGCCCTCCCTCCCTCACCTGCGGCGGCCGCGCGCTACGCCAGCCCGAGGCCGGGCCCGGCCCACTAGGCCGCACGGCGCCCGGCGGGGAGCGGGGCCCGGCGGGCAGTGAGGGACCGCCGCGGAACGGCGAGGCCGGGCCGGGAAGAGCGGAGCCGAGCGGAGCGCGAAGGGAGGAAGAGGAATAAAGGCGGCGGGGCGGGGTCGGCGGGGCCGCGCGGAAGGAGCGGAGCCGCCACCGCCGCGCACCAACTTTACCTGAGTCTCCACCACACTGACACTGCCCAGCGGCGCCCGCCCCCATCACGTGACGCGGGAGGGGGCGGGGCCGGCCCGGCTTCGCTCCCACGTGACGCGGCACGCGAGGGTGACGCGGCACGCGGAGTCACGTGGGGGAGGGCGATCGGCTCGATTTCCTTCTCGCCCGGCGTCGCGCTTCCGCGTCACGTGACGGGGGCGCGGGGCGGCTTCGGAGGCCGCCATGTTGTGCGGCCCCGCGGCGGGCCGGGGATGGCGGGGGCCGGCAGCAACTGGCTGTCCGGGGTTAACGTGGTGCTGGTGATGGCCTACGGCAGCCTGGTGAGCGATGGAGAACGGGACGAGAGGGCCGGGGGGGGCGTGTGGGGTCCGGGAGAGGATGGGCGTGGGGTTGGGCCCGGCTGGTGTGCGGGGGGGGCTGCGGGGCCGGACCGGGGGTGGCTGCAGGGCCCTCGGTGGGCGCGGTGACCACGTGGTGCCCCGGTGGGGTTTGGGGTCCTCGCGGTGCCGGGCTGGGCTGTCCGTGGGGCCGCGTCAGCCCCAGTGCGGCTGTAGGGCGGGGGGAGGATTGGGCTGGAGACTCAAGGAGCGCTTATAGGGGGGATCTGGGGGGGGCTTGGGGTTGTGGGTGGGCTGAGGTGTGTGCTGGGGCTGCGGGGGCTTGGGGGGGGCGTGGGGCGAGAGGGGAGGCCATGGGGCGGGGGCTTAGGGGGGGTCCCTGTGGGGTGGGAGGTTGGGTGGAGGTTTGGGGGGGTTCCCATGAGGGGGGGTTTGGGGGCAGGGGGGACATGGGGTGGGGGTTTGGGAGGGGTACGGGGTGAGGTGGGGGTTTGGGGAATGGCAATGGGGTGGGGGTTTGGGTGGAGGTTTGGAGGGGGGTCCCATGGAGTGGGATTTGGGTGGGGGGCCCCGTGGGGTGAGAGTTAGAGGGAAGGCTGTGGGGTGAGAACTTGGGGTACAGCTATGGGATGGGGGTTTGAAAGATGGCAGTGAGGTGGGGGTTGGGGTGGAGGTTTGGGTGGAAGTTTGGGGGGTTCCATGAGGTGAGGTTTGGGGGAAGGCCATGGGGTGAGGGGTTGGGGGAGTCCTGTGGGGTGGGGGCTTAGGGGGTGTGGGATGTGGGGAGGGTTTAGGAGGGATCTGTGGGGCGAGGGTTTGGGGGGAGGGGGGTCCCATGGGGTGGGGTTTGAAGGAAGGCCATGGGGTGGGATTTGGGGAGTCTGGTGGGGTGTAGGTATGGGATCCCATGGTGTGGGGTTTGGGGGAAGGGGGAAGACCATGGGGTGGGGGTTTGGGGGGGTCCCTGTGGGGTGAGGGTTTGGAGTACAGCCATGGGGTGGGGGGTTTGGGGGATGGCATTGGGGTGGGGGTTTGGGTGAGAGTTTGGGTGGAGGTTTGGGGGGTCCCATGGGATGGGGGTTTGGATGGGGGACTCTATGGAAAGACGGTTTAGGGGGGGCCTCGTGTGAGAGTTAAAGGGAAGGCTGTGGGTTGCAGGGTTTGGGGGGGTCCTGTGGGGTGAGAGTTTGGGGTACAGCCATGGGGTGGGGGTTTGGGGGATGGCAGTGGGGTGGGGGTTTGGGTGGAGGTTTTGGGGGAATCCTGTGAAGTGGGGTTTGGGGGAAGGCCATGGGGTTGGATTTGGGGAGTCTGGTGGGGTGTTGGTGGGGGGTCCCATGGGGTGGGGTTTGGGGGAAGGCCATGGGGTGAGGGGCTGGGGGAGTCCTGTGGGTTGAGGGTTAGAGGGAAGGCCATGGGGTGGGGGCTTGGGGGGGTGCCTGTGGGGTGAGGGTTTGGGGTACAGCCATGGGGTGGGGGGGGTTTGGAGGATGGCATTGGGGTGGGGGTTTGGGTGGAGGTTTTGGGGGGGGTCCTGTGAGGTGGGGTTTGGGGGAAGGCCATGGGGTTGGATTTGGGGAGTCTGGTGGGGTGTTGGTGGGGGGTCCCATGGGGTGGGGTTTGGGGGAAGGCCATGGGGTGAGGGGCTGGGGGAGTCCTGTGGGTTGAGGGTTAGAGGGAAGGCCATGGGGTGGGGGCTTGGGGGGGTGCCTGTGGGGTGAGGGTTTGGAGTACAGCCATGGGGTGGGGGGTTTGGAGGATGGCAGTGGGGTGGGGTTTGGGTGGAGGTTTTGGGGGGGGGTCCTGTGAGGTGGGGTTTGGGGGAAGGCCATGGGGTGAGGGGGGGGGGGGAGGGAAGTCCTGTGGAGTTCTGTGGGTTGAGGGTTAGAGGGAAGGCCATGGGGTGGGGGTTTGGGGGGTCCCTGTGGGGTGAGGGTTTGGGGTACAGCCATGGGGTGGGGGGTTTGGGGGATGGCAGTGGGGTGGGGGTTTGGGTGGAGGTTTTGGGGGGGGGTCCTGTGAGGTGGGGTTTGGGGGAAGGCCATGGGGTTGGATTTGGGGAGTCTGGTGGGGTGTTGGTGGGGGGTCCCATGGGGTGGGGTTTGGGGGAAGGCCATGGGGTGAGGGGCTGGGGGAGTCCTGTGGGTTGAGGGTTAGAGGGAAGGCCATGGGGTGGGGGCTTGGGGGGTGCCTGTGGGGTGAGGGTTTGGAGTACAGCCATGGGGTGGGGGTGTGGGGGATGGCATTGGGGTGGGGGTTTGGGTGGAGGTTTTGGGGGGGTCCCATGGGGTGGGGTTTGGGGGACGCCCTTTGGGCTGAGTTTTGGGGGGGGTCCCGTTGGGCGCAGCTCTGTGTGCTGAGCGCCGTCCCTGCTTCGCTCCCCCAGGTCTTCGTGCTGCTGTTCATCTTTGTGAAGCGGCAGATCATGCGCTTTGCCATGAAGTCCCGGCGCGGCCCCCACGTGCCGGTTGGGCAGCACGCCCCCAAGGTCGGTTCCTGCAGGGCTCTGCCTCCAATGGGGCACGGCTGGGAGCTGCCGCCCTGGCGTGGGGACGAAGGGCTGCAGAAGGAACGGCTTCGCTCCGCTTCACGCCACGCCTGGGCTGCGCTCGTCCCTGTGATCCCGCTCTGAATTCCCCTCTCGTTTTTCTGCTCTGCAGGATTTAAAGGAAGAGATCGACATCAGGCTGTCGAGGGTGCAGGATATCAAGTATGAACCGCAGCTGTTGGCTGAGGATGACAGCAGACTCCTGCAGCTGGAGACGCAAGGTGAATCCCGATAAGCACGGCGTTCTGCTCTCACTCTTGTTGCTGGGCCCGGTCACCAGTTTGGGGCTTTTTCTGTGCCCCGCTCAGCCCTCGTTTGGTTTTTCTCTTCTCCAGGCTGCTATAATTACTTGTACAGGATGAAGGCGCTGGATGCGATTCGGACGTCAGGTGAGGGACAGAGAAGGGGGGGAGCAGGGAGGAAGCAGGGCTGCGTTGGGCAGAGGTTGGGCTCTGCTCGGAGAGCAGCGGTGGTGAAGCCGCCCTGGCTCTGCTCTGGCATTGGCAGCAATTAATCGTTAATCGGAGGCGGCGGAGTGGAGGTTTAAGGAGCCGCCAACCTTCCGCTTTGCTCCGTGCTTCAGGTTGCGCCGCGCCTTTTGGTTTTGCAGAAATCCCGTTCCAGGCAGAGGGCAGATACCCGAAATCTTTAATAGGGAAGAACTTCTGCGCCTATCTGCTGGAACTGAGGAACTCCAGCGGCTCCTTCAAAGGCATCCGCAAGGCCTTGATCGACGCTTTGCTGGACGGGTACGAGAACGCCCGCTATGGCACCGGGGTGAGTGGGGCTGCCCCTGGTCTGCGGCCCTGGGCAGGGCTGTCGCGTTGCTCCCGGGGCCTCTTTCCAACCTCTTTCCTGTTTGCGCGAAGGTCTTTGGGAAGCCGGAATATCTCAAGTACCAGGATGCTTTGAACGAGCTGGCGAACGTGTAAGTCTTGCTGCTGGGGTGCAGCGTGGAGCGTTTGGGCCTCAGCACCCCGGCCTGGCGCTGTGAACAGAGGCGTAAAAGCAGCCCAGGGTGCGAGGAGCCCGAGTCGGGCTGTCCTTCAGCTTTCCCTGCCCTTTGTGTGTTCTGGGGTTTGTCGCCGGCTCGCAGCCGCGTTCCTTCTTGCATCTTTGTGCCATGGGCTCAGCGCCGCCCCTGCGCCCGGCACGGAGGAACCCATCTTTGGTTTTCAAGACGTGAGAGCTGCCATCCGGGGGGGCAGATCTGCGCTGTGTGGGGCAGAACCCACGGCCAAGCAGCTCCTGGGGGGAGAGGCCGCATCCCCCCCCCGTGCTGATCACAGCTCTCCCTGCAGGACCAAGGCACGGGCAGGCAGCAGCCAGAGGCAGCACCAGTCGGCAGCCAAGGACCTCACTCTGTCCCCCGAAGTCTCCAACCCTGCCACCATCCAGGTCACCTACCTGCCTTCCAGCCAGAAAAGCAAACGTGCCAAACACTTCCTGGAGCTGAAGAGCTTCAAGGACAACTACAACACGCTGGAGAGCACGCTGTGAGCAGGGACCTTCCACGAGCCCCCTGCTGGGCACAGCAAACCCGGGGGGGTTTTGTGCTGGGACGAAGCAGTCGTGCCCTCGGCGTCCCCCTCGTGGGACGTGGGGCTGGCGGAGCCCCCCGCTGGCGGAGCCCCTTTGGGCTGCCTGGGATGCTGCGGGTGCTCGAGGCCGGCGGCCCCAACCCTGTGAATAAACTTTGGTTAGCTGTAACTTATTTATAAAAGACGCGGAGCCCGGCCGGCTCTCCGCCCTGCCTCTCTTTCCCTCGGTGGCCAGCAGGGGCTGATGCTGTCTGTCCGTCCTGTCTGTGTGCATCTCGGGCGCCTCGTCTGATCTTGCCGAGGGACGAACGCCCTCCTTTCCCCCCGACGGTGGGCGCCGGGACTGCGTGTAAATACTTTGTCGGCCTCGTGCTGCTCCGAGGAGCCGCGTTGGGCTGCGGGTTGTTCCGCGTTCAGGGACGCCTGGGGCAGACGCGGCCCTGCGGGAGCGGCTCCCTGCCCGGGGGCGCCGTTCCCCCGCTCTCAGCGGCAGCTCAGCGTCACCGCACCGTGCGCCCCGTGGGGTGGGAAGGGGGGTCCCTGCCGCGGGCCTCTGCGCTCTTTTTAATTGCTCTTTAATAAAACGAGTCACCCCCGGCCCGCTGCGTGCTGCCGGCTCCGTGCCGCGGTTGCCATGGGGCCGTCGCCGCGGTGACGGGACAGCAGTGGGGTTCTGCGGTGCTGCTGGCGCTGGCCGCGATGGCAGGGAGCAGCCGCGTCCCGTCCCCGCATGGGGAGCAGGTGGGGGGCGGGCAGGGGGCCGCAGCTGCCGCCCCGCGAGGCTGGGCGTCCCGAACTCGTGGCTTTGGTTGCAGGTGGTGGCGAAGGAGGTAGAGACCTGTGCGGAGTTGGTGCAGAGGTAGAGGCACGAAGGGGGTCGTGGGGGGGGAGGGGGGGTGAAGGGGTCTCAGCGGGGGTCCCCACGTTTATTTTGTCGCCCCGCGTCCCTGCAGCTGGGGGTTGGCAGCCGGGGAGCAGCGGCAGGAGATTTGGGCCACGTCCTTCGGGGCGCTGCGCTGGAGCCTGGAGGAGGAGCTGCGCCTCGCCGGCAAGGAGCTGACGGCGGTGGGTGCCTCCCGGGGGCTCAGGCCCCCCCCCCCCTCCTTTGGTTGCCCCGGGCTTCATTGCCGGCCCCACAGCTGCGGCGGGCGGCTCTGGATCGGCTCCTGCAGGACGAGCGACGGCAGCAGCAGCGGGAGCTGCGGCGGTGCGGGAAGGCGTTCCACGCGGAGCGGCTGTGACGGGCGGGCAGCGGCGTCTCCGGGCATCAAACGGCGCTCGGCTGGGAATAAAGCGGTTGAAACAGACGGAGCTGCGCCCACCGGGCACCGCGTGGTTGTGGGGCGGAGGGGCAGGAAAGGGGGCAGGAAAGGGGGCAGCCCGGCCCGAACCGCGGCGCGGATCCCCGCGTGCGCCGCATCCCGGTGCCGGGAGGTGGCAGCACGGCCGCCTCTCGCGCTTCGCGTCCCGGTTCCCGCAGCGCTGCGCTGGGCTGCGTGCGATGCCCGCCGTCGGGTCGCTCCCTCGGCCCCTGCCCGCGCCCGACCTTGGTGTCTCCCGGCCCCGGGGCCCATCAGCGCTGCCCGGCTCAGCTTATTGACAGGGCCGGGGGCGGTGCGGCCGCCACCCCCCGCCAGCAGCCCTTCATTAGAGCTGCTGTCACCTCGCATCACGTCACACCTCACGCGCAGCCCCACATCCCAGCTTTGCTGCCACGTGTGTCCCTGCCGTCCCCAGAGCCGCCCTCCCTGCCGTCCCGCTGCCGCCCCCTGCTCTCCAGCCCGGGCCGCGTCCTTGTCCCCACATCCCCCCCGCGGTGGCTTTGCGTCCCCCCAACCCGATTTCTGAGGCCCATCGCGGCACCGACACGTCGTGCGCCTCCAGCAACGGCGGAGGACGGCCCCGGTGTCCGTCCCAGATGTGGGTCCTTCCTCTGTGCAGCCGCAGCCACGTATGGGGCAGCGCAGGGGATGCGGGCAGTCCCGTCTTTGATCCCCTGGAACCCAGAGACAGGGGAGAGATGGGACGGCGGGGGGACGCGGGACGCAGCTCGTCCTTGGGCAGGGTCACACGCGGCCCCCGACACGGGGAGAGCGCCGGGCTGTGGCCGAACTCGTATCGACATCCCCGCTAATGACAGCAGCGTGTGACCGGGGGCAGCGGCAGCGGCGCGGGGCCATCGACCCGTATTGAGCGGAGGGGGCAGGGGGACATCGATGGGTAATTAATGGGAACGAGGCCACGTGTGGGGCCGGGGCTCTCGCCGGCCGCATCCCCCCACCGAGTGCGGCTGAGCGCGGTTATAAACAGCAGCCAACGGTGCCAGAGCCGCCGCCGAGACCCCCGAGCCGGGCAGGTAAGGAGCCGCAGTTGGGGTCCCTCGGCTGCAGCCGTGCAGGAGCCGCCCTGCGCCGTAGCGCCGTGGGACCGTGACCGCCCTGCCCTGCTCCGGTTCCAGCCCCGCTGCCGTTCGCTTCCTTCTTGTCCTCCAGATCCCAAAGGATCCCAGAGGAAACGGAGCAGCCCCACATTGCAGCAGACGGACCGGGAGCCCACGGAGCAGCAGCCCCACAGCGCAGGCCGAGCCGGGGCGCACGGGCGCAGAGCTGCATGGAGGAAGGAGCCCCGGCACGCTCGGCCCCTTCTCTCCCCCTTCTCTTTCTCTTGCAGGGAGCTGAGCCCCGGGCCCGTCCCGCCCTGCCTCTGTCTGATATGTTTGATATTAGGTTGTTTTATTGGAAACCAACTAAATATCAAACATATTCTTACAGCGTCAGGGCCGCCCAGCGCCGCGTGCCGCCCGCGTGGGCTCAGCGCCCACCACCTGTTCCCCGATGTGCAGCGATGGCGCCCTGTGCCTCCTGCCCCAAATCCGTGCCAAGGAACTCCTGCAATCCTCCCCCCCCCCCCCCCCCCGTGCTGGGACAATGAGCTCCTGGATGCCAGCAGCATCCCCTGCCCCATGGCTGGGTGCTGGGGGGGGGTCAGGGGGGTCCCGAGGGCTCGGCTGCCCCCCCGCCGCCCCTGCAGAGCTGAACCACGCGGGCCGGGGGCTGCCGCTCTCAGCACAGCCTTGGGCTCAGCGCGCCCTTTGCCTCACTGCCCCCCAGGCGTGGGGAAGGACGAGGCCGGGGGCAGCGGGGTGCTGGGGGGTCACTGGGGGTGCTGGGGAACGAGGGGAGGTGAGGTGAGCCGCGGCCGCCGAGCCAGGGGGACCAGGAGGGGGGGCCAGGAGCCCATCGCCCCCCTGCTTTGGTACGCATGGAGCTGCTGGGTTGGGACGCGGCGTCCCTGTGCCACCAATATGGGTGTCCCCTTGCAGGGGGGGGCGGGCAGCCAGGACAATGCGGGACCCCCACCTGCCGACCTGCTGCTGCTTTTTATAACTGCCCCAGCTGTCCTGCAGGAGCCCAAATAAGGCCGCAGCCGCCCGGACCCCCCCACGCCAGACAATGGGTCCCGAGCAGAGACTTTTTGGGAGCATGGGGGGGGTGGGGAGGGCCAAGAAAGGCAAAGCCCTGCGCCCACGGAGCGGAGCGCGCCCATAAACCGGGCGGCAGCGGGCAGCAGGGCCATTGAGTGCCGCCTTCCGCCCCACTGCGCTGAGCCCCGAACCCCGCAGCCATGGAGGCCATCAAGAAGAAGATGCAGATGCTGAAGCTGGACAAGGAGAACGCTCTGGACCGGGCAGAGCAGGCGGAGGCAGAGCAGAAACAGGCGGAGGAGAGGAGCAAGCAGGTGGGGCGCGATGGGAGATGGCTGGAGGGGAACGGGCAGCAGGGCTGGGGGATCCGCGTCCGACGGGGGGGTTGGGGCCGTGCTGTGGGGCAGCCCCCCCTTCCAGCTGGGTGGTTGGGAAGGACTGACAGTGGGGTGGGGTGGGAAGGAGCGCGTGGGGGCAAAGAGTGAATCCCCCCCGGCCATGTGGGGTGTGTGGTGATGTGTGGTGATGGCTGTGGTGCTTGCAGCTGGAGGATGAGCTGGCCGCCATGCAGAAGAAGCTGAAGGGGACGGAGGACGAGCTGGACAAATACTCAGAGGCCCTGAAGGACGCCCAGGAGAAGCTGGAGTTGGCGGAGAAGAAGGCGGCCGATGTGCGTATGGGGGACGGGAGCCCCGGCACGGGGCTGGGGGATGGTCCCCAAAATGGGGCCGAGCGCAGGGAGGGGGGTGGGCAGCCCTGGAGCTGGGCTCAGCGCTCGGCCATTGGAGGAGGAACGACGCCAAAGAAGGACGGAGGACAAAGTGCACAGCGCTGCTATTGTTGGCCGCCGGGTCCAAGCAAACAATGGCACCAGCCGTGCTGGGTTTCACTGCCCGGCAGCCACGTGGCACCACGGCTCTGTTTGGCACCTGCAGGGCCGTCACCCTGCTGCCATCGCCGCTGCTTCGGCTGCCATCGCCCCCGCAGGGCAGCGCAGGGTGGGGACGCTGAAGCACCTGCGCGACCCTTTGCTGGCTGTTCTCCCTCTGAGCACCACAATTTGGGGTCCTGGGGGTTCGTCGGCCCCATGGCTGTGCTGTCTCTCACTGGGAGGTGACAGAGGGCACCGCAGTGCTGTGCTCCCCGCATCGCCGGGCTCCATCCGCAGCGCTCGGTCACGCTTTGATTGAGGTCCGCACGCCCTGCATGAGCGACAACATGGGGATCATTGGGCTGGGGCTCACAGGGGGTTGTGGAGGGGGGCTGGGTGGGGGTCTGGGGGCTGCCAGTCCCTATTGGGTGGTGTGGGGTGGGGCGAGGGGAGGTGAGAGGATTGGAGGTGAGGGGATGGGAGGTGAGGTGAGGTGAGGGGAGGTGAGGGGAGGTGAGGCTCAGCACCGCCAGCAGAGAGTTTGGAGCAGAGCTGAACTGGGAATGGGGGCACAGCGGGGGGGTGGGCTGAGCTCAGCCCCCGGGAATGCACGGCCGCCGCTGTGCCCGTATAAGGCCTGCAGAGGGCTCGGTGCGTGGGGCAGAGCAGCGCTGGCAACTCTACGGGGTGGGCAGGCGCTGCGGTGCGGCTCGCGGCCCGGCGGCCACGCTCACCTACGGATTGGGCCGCGCGGCCCCACGGCAGCCCCCGATGCCCCGCACGGCCTGGGCAGGGCGGCCACCACAGCCCCGCGCGGCACGGCCCGGTCCGGTTCGGGCTGTCGCCGTTCCCGCTGGTCGCTTCGAACCTCCCCGGCCGCCCCGCCGCCCGCTCCCCGCCCTTCCCTCGGTTCGGGCCCCGGCCCGCCGTAGGCCGCGCGGTTCGCACCGTCGCCAAGGCGACGCGAGAGGGGCGCGGCGCTTCCGGCCGCGGCCGAGAGGAGGGGGGGAGCGCGGGCGGAAGTGACGTCACATCCCGTGCGGCGGGGCCGGGGCGGCGGGTTCCGGTATTTCAGGGCGGGGCGGGCGCGGCGCGGAGCGGAGGGGGATCATGGCGGGGGCCACCACCATCGAGGCGGTGAAGCGTAAGATTCAGGTGCTGCAGCAGCAGGCGGACGATGCCGAGGAGCGGGCGGACCGCCTGCAGCGGGAGGTGGAGGCCGAGCGCCGGAACCGAGAGCAGGTGGGGGTCGGGGGGGGCGGCGGGGTTTGCGGGGTCCCGGCGGGGCTCCGTGGGGCCGGGCTGCGGTCGGCCGCCGTCACGGAGCTTCGCTTTTTTTTGCTCCTAAAATCTGGGCGGTGCCGCTGGGGGCTCCGTCCGGGCTCCGCGGTGCCGTTCCGGGTTCTGCTCCGGGCTGCGCCGCCAAAAGCGGGGTTTGGGGTCCCATAGGGGTCGGCAGGAAGGGCGGAGCCGGCCGCGCTGTGTGGGCACGGCGGGGTGCGGGGCACCGGGAGGGAACGCCGCGCTGCGACCGGGGAGGGCCGGGCGGGGGTCGGCAGGGAGCGGCCGGTCCGCAACTCCGTCCCGGTGTTGGGGTGCCGCCATGGGGCGCGGGGGGCCGCGGAGCTCTGCGGAGCCGCTCCGGTGCCCGGAAGGAATGGCGGCGGAGCGGCGTTCGGGGCTGACGGCGGAGCTGTGCGGTGCGGCCGGGCCACTCCCAGCCCCGCGCTGCTTTTCTTTGCAGCCACATAAGGAATTCTGCCGTACTTGCGGCGTTGTCATGGCGACGTGCGTTGCTCGCACCGGAGCGCCGCTGTGTGAGAGCGGAGCCGTGCTCAGCCCGCAGCCCCGGCTCTGCTCCCCGCGCCCTGGGAAGCGATGCTGGCCGGCTCTGCCCTTGGCTTGGCTCCCTTCTCCGGGCTTTCTGACTCAGGCTTCCCTTCCTGAAGGAAATGGGGGGTGATGGGAGGTGCCGTGGGGCTGCACGGAGGTGTCACTGCTGCGCTGGCCGGGCTCCGTCCTGCCCGGCGGGATGAAGAAGCGCTGCCTGCAGGAAGGCGGCCCGGAGGGGAAGGGGGGCTGGGGATGGAGGAGCGACGTGCCTCCGTTTGCTGGGAGGAGGAGGAGATTCAGCAGTGTGAAAGCTGCTCCTCTCCTGCTCGGTGCGTCGTTTGGTTCCTCTTTGAGCAGAGCGCTTCCTCCTCCGAAGCAGCTCTGGGTCGGAGTGCTGTGCATCGAAGTGCTGCGGGTTTCCATGGTGAAGAGCAGGGTGTGCCTGCAGCCGAAAGCAAAAGCGCTCCTGCATCCTGCTGGGGGGGGGAGGCAGGGTGTGGGTTGTGGCAGGCCGTGTTCCGGCCTCCTTCCTTGGGCATGGCCGATGGGCTCGGCGTGGCCTCGTTGCTGGAGGCTGGGGTATTTCCTACGTGCCTGCTGTGTGTTTGTGTGCTGGGCTCTGCGGTGGATCGCTGCTGGGAAATGGCTGTGACCGCCTCCATTTTGGTAGCGGTGTGGAAATCCTGCCGGAGGGGTGCTGGCCGTTTTTGGGGTGTCCCTGGGGCGTTGGTGTCCCTCTGAGGCTGCCTGCAGGCTGCGCTCAGGGCTTTGTGGAGCAGATGTGGCTGCTGGGGGTGTTGCTGGAGCTCTGGGGGTGGCGGTTCTGAGCTCTGCTGCTTCACTCAAACCTCGGTCGCCGCTGTGGTCACGCACTGGGCGATGAGCTGAGCCCGTGGGCTCCCAGCATCGTGCTGGCACGCGTTGCTGGGCAGTGGCTCCCAGCCTGGCTTGGGCCGGGTGAGGATTCTGCTCTGTGGGATCAGTGAGTGCTGCTGGCCGGAGCCTCAGAGCTGCGTTGTGGCCCCTCAGCGGGGCAGGCAGAGCTCTGAGCACGGAGCTGATCATCTTCCTCGAGTTGCTGTTGAGAGGGGCTTGGATTTGAGCAGCGCCGGCATCCAGATCGCAGGAGTAAACTGACTTGGTGCTAAATGCCGGCTGTCACGGCGCGCTGGAGCAGCGGATAAATAGGGCTGATTGATGGCCTGGCAGGATTACAGCAGCTGTGCAGAAGAGACATTAGTGTAAGTCATCCACTTAGTGTTTACGGCTTAAACTGTCACGTCAGCTCGAGCTGACAGGCGAGAAACCTGTGTGGCAGCGGCTGCTGCGTGCGTGAGCCCGTGTGAAATGTTGCAAGGCTTATCTCGGAATGCAGGGCTCGGTGTAAGAAAGTGGATGCAGCTCCTCCACTTTGTTTGGGCTTCCTCAGTGCTGCTGCTGTCCCCCAGCTGCCCTGTGCTGCTGGCTGCAGGCTCAGCTGCCCTCCTTGCTCCCCCCCAGGCTGAGGCAGAGGTGGCATCCCTGAACCGCCGCATCCAGCTGGTGGAGGAGGAGCTGGACCGGGCCCAGGAGCGCCTCGCCACCGCTCTGCAGAAGCTGGAGGAGGCTGAGAAGGCCGCAGATGAAAGCGAAAGGTGAGCAGGGGAGGCCGCTGTGCTGTCAGCCGTGCAGGGGGTGTCCCTGGATGGGGCCCCGCGGTGTCGGCATCTTCAGCTTCCGAAGGTGGGGAGCCGGTGCCACGGTGAGGCCGGGTGTGGGAGGACCTGCTGCTGGAGTGGGGCTGTTGGTCTTCGGGGAGCCGTGGCTGCTGGGTTCCCTCCTGAAGGAGCAGGGGGGAGGCGGGGGAGCCCCTCCTGCTGCAAGCTCCCTTCTGGCTGGGAGCTCCTGAGCTGGGAACGTGGTTTGGAGGGGAGCGCTCCCAGCAGCGTTTCGTTGGCTGATGCACTCTGCTCTGTAGCGCAGCCTGACCTGGCTGCTGTCTGCCATCAAGATTCAGCTTTCCCTGTGCTTCAGCCTGGAAGTGCCTGGCTTGCCTGCACAGAATCCCTCCTGATCTGTTGTTCCCAGCAGTGCTTCCTGTGCTCCAGGAGCGCAGTGAGCTGCTGGAGCCGTGCTCAGAGCAGCAGTTAACTTTGAGCAGCAGCACAGCAGCGCTGCTTTCCCGTGCCGTCCTCTGCCCTCGGAGGTGTGGTGGCTCAGCAGGGCAGCGCTGTGGCTGGGAATGCTGTCTGCTCTCTGGTGTGCATTCTGCTGCCGGTTGGTGGGGGTTTGTTTTAGTCATTGCTTTCCACTATGCTTTCTTTCTTTTTCGGGCAGAGGCATGAAAGTCATTGAAAACAGAGCTCTGAAAGATGAGGAGAAGATGGAGCTGCAGGAGATCCAGCTGAAGGAAGCCAAGCACATTGCAGAGGAGGCGGACAGGAAGTATGAGGAGGTGAGAGCCCTGGGCGCTGCCGTGCAGCTGATGCTGGCCAGGAGAGGTGGCTGCTCTTCCTGCGCTCTGTGCTCTCAGTGTGGGGGACCTGGCTCGCTTCCCCCAGCCAGCGACTCTGGCAATGCCAGTGGCCCTGCAGGCGTTCCCAGGCGACCAGAGCGGCGTTTATCTTCCTTGCTGTGAACTCTGATTTTTCCCTCCCAGGTTGCTCGGAAGCTGGTGATCATAGAAGGAGACCTGGAGCGTACTGAGGAGAGAGCTGAGCTCGCAGAGTCGTGAGTAACCTGCTTGCATGTGACTGGCACGTGTAGCTGTGCATGGGAACTAACACCGATGGCATTTCTAACCTTGTTACACAAGGCCTGAAGTACAGGGTGGGCTCAGATCTCCAAATGGAAGAGCTGGGGCTGATCTCCTGCTCGGAACAGGATGAGATCCACTGAGAAGGTGGAGTTTGCGTGCATCAAAACCCACACGCCGTGCCTCGCGTTGCACAGAGATGTTCAGACCTTTGCACGAGTGCCTCTCTAGCTGTTGAGGTCGGGCTTTCAAGGCTCGTAGCCACCAGCACTGTTTGGTCACTGGATGCGCACACACCGCTGTGGGGCACGTGGCGCTGAGCCTAAAATGGCCGAGGGCCCGGGAGCAGAGAGCGGAGCTGTGGCTGAGGCTGGTCTCTGGCCTCCTTCAGCATTTCCAGCCATCACGGGGATGTTTGCGCTGCTGAGTTGCAAGCTGAGCTCCTGCTTGGAGCAGAGGTGGCGGAGGTGCCGCTCAGGCTCCTTTCGTGCGCCTCCAGGAGCTGCCCAGGGCCGTTCTGTACTGTGGGCCTCGTCTAACAAAGCCAGCACGTGTGCAGCAGCGGCGCCGTGC